TTTTCTGTCCTGGGTAGTTTTATGGCCAAGAAGAAAACGAGAGACCACTTGCATCTGCGTAAACAAACATTGTTACAAACTTGCTTATCCCCCCATTTGTTCTTCCCATAGACGCTGCCTCCTCCTTAAGTTAGGCCCTAATTTTACCGTATAGAAAGCTACCCCTTCTGTGAGCAGCTCCATGCCTATGAATAAACTTTGGTTTTTATCTTCCTGTTCGTCTGTTTTCAGTTAAATTTGCACGGGGGCGCCCCCCCCCCCCCTGAGCCGGGGGGGGGGGGGGGGAGTACCCCACGCACAGACAGCCTTTCTAGTTCTGTTCCTCCCTGCCCCCTCAGTTACAGTGACAAAAGCTGACAAAAGCCGGCGGACACTTGCTTGGCTCTCTGACCTCTGTGCCCTTGCAGTACTGTGCTCTCTGTATGTGAACTTCCTTCTCTGCGGGCTTTTTTAGGTTCAGATACGGTTCTGCAGATTGCTTACAAAGGCTGCTGTGCTTACGTGGGACCGAGGCACTAGGTAACCTGGCTCAGGAGCCCTGTGATGTCTGTTAAATTGGGGTAGTGAGGAATTTATTCCCCATTGGTACTCTGTCTCGTAGGTCTTTGACTGGCACCGCCTGATCCCCCTCACCTGGGCGCATGTTGCTAGGCAGACTCCTCTCGGAGAACAGAGAAGGACGTCTGCATCGTTGTTGTGTCTACTGACCACAGCCTCCAATGGAGGGGGCCTCCAGAAGGTATCCTGCGTGGAACCCAAAAAGTATGTGCGGGAACCAGAGTGCAGGACAGATCTCACCCCGGACCCCCTTGAGAAGCAGAGGACTCCTGTGGCTGGAGGGTTCTTAGAGCGAGAGAACGTCATCAGTGCCCTCCTGGACATGGGTTTCAGTGACATCCACGTTAATGAATTGCTCAGTATGTGGCCAAGTGTGCCCCCCCAACAGTTGCTGGACATCATTTCAGAATTAATACTCTTGGGTTTGAACCCAGAGCCTGTGTATGTGGCCCTAAAGAAAAGCCCTGAGCTGCTGAAGCTGCCTATAATGCAGATGAGGAAACGCTCCAGTTACCTGCGGAAGCTTGGGCTTGGAGAAGGTACAGGAAGTGCTGATTTCGTGGACGACGCTGAGGACTCGGGGTTGGGGGATGAGTAGCCCAGGTGGGATGGACTAGGGGGGCTTCTGGGGAACGTCCTTGAGAATAACACGTGATTTGGTTCGGAGGTGAGAAAGAGGAGTGACCTCTGTGGATGGCACTGCCGGAGGGAAGGGGGGACAGGCCAGGACTCTTGTCTGGTGTGCTCACTGTGGGGCCCCTGGCATCTAGAGCACGTACTACATGCTCATGCCCAGCAGATAGATGTCAGTATGTGATACTGATACATGTGTGTATATGGCATTTTTGATGTTAAACGTGAAGTGGTCTTAGTGCTTTGTGTCTGTATGACGTAGAGCCAAAGGCTTACAGAGGCCCTGGTAAAGACGTGCATTCCAACAAGGTGTCTTGATTTGCTGTGGAAAACGAGATCTTCCCAAACTCCTAGGAAACTGAGGAGTGACTGTTCCCTCCACCACGTCCCCCACCCCCTCCCCTATCCCCAACAGGATTCACACCTCAAGGATTCTAGAATTCCTTTCTTTCTTTCTTTTTTTTTTTTTTTGTTTATTTATTTTAGAGAGAGTGAGAAAGAGAGCGCAAGCAGGGGAGGTGCAGAGAAAGAGGAAGACACAGAATCTGAAGCAGGCTCTAGGCTCCCAACTGTCAGCACAGAGCCTGACACAGGGCTCGAAGTCACAGACCTCGAGACCATGACCTGAACTGAGGTTGGACACTTAACTGACTGAGCCACCCAGGTGCCCCAAGGATTCTTGAATTTCCTTGGATCTCTTTATAGGCCTTTAGGAGAAGGGGGTTAGGGGTCCATGAGCATCTCCAAGGATCTTTACCTACTTTGACCAGCGGAGGGCCACTGTTCTTTTTTGTCATTTTTGACTGTTACTGGTAATATATTGTTGAGGGCGACAGAAGGTTTAGGGATCTACTATTTCAGAGGATCTCTACGGACCTCCTCTAGAAGATAAGGAAGAAGGTAGTCTTCTCTCTTTCTCTTACTGGATTACCTGTTGTGGTATAATCTAAAAGGCTAAATTTAAGACTTTGTATGTTATGATTATACATTACAAAGCTCAGAGGTGCCTGGGTGGTTCAGTCGGTTTAAGTGTCCACCTTTAGCTCAGGTCATGATCTCGTGGTTTGTGAGTTCGAACTCCACGTCGGGCTCTGTGCTGACAGCTTGGAGCCTGCTTGAGATTCTCTCTCTCTCTCTCTCTCTCTCTCTCTCTCTCTGTCCCTCTCTGCCCCTCCCTCCTTTTTCTCTTTCTCTCTCTCAAAATAAATAAACTTTAAATATTAAAAAAAAAGATGTTCTTCCTCTCTATCTGCCCCTCCTCTCTCCTCCCCCCTCAAAGAAAAGAAAAAAAAGACCATATGCCCCAGTTTGCGTAGGGTAATCTCAGTTACCAGTTACCCTAATGCATTTGTTAATAGGACCTCTTTCACTCAGAATTGCCCTAATTTGGATATAATATATGGTCATTTCACTAACTAGGACATCAGTGTTTATGGCTACACATCATGAGTATTCTTATTATTACATTAATTATTATCATGGAAGTCCTTTTCATGGAGTTTAGGCTCCCAGATCTTAAGAACGTTGCTTGTCAGTGCTTCTGTTTTATTATGGAAGGAAACATCAATCCAAAGCCCCAGTGTGGGGGAAACTACTGTCTCATCTTACTGTCTCATCTTTCCATAAATCCCCTGTGAAGTTTTTTGTTTTTTTTTTTTTAATTTTGGAGAGAGATTGTGCATGAGCAGGGGAGGGGCAGAGGGAAAGAATCTGAAGCAGGCTCCACGCTCAGCACAGAGCCCGACGTGGGGCTGTATCTCATAGGATCATGACCTGAGCCAAAATCAAGAGTCAGACACTCAGCCAAATGAGCCACCCAGGTGCACTAACCCCCCACTCCCCCACCGTGAAGTTCTTCAGAGGAAGGGGGCAAGAGGAGGAAGCCGAGAATGTGAGGTTAGCGGCTTTCAGCCGGGAGGCCAGCAAGAGGCCCCCTCTTTGTATCAGGGAGGGAAGGTTGGTGAGTCTCAGAAGTGAGAGAGAGTCGGTGGGGAGATGTGTCGTTTTGGCGCTCCTGGGCGGGCAGCGGACGCTGTCACTCGTGGAGGAGAGCACCCTGGTCTGTGTTTCAAATGCTGGCTTGGGTGTAGCGAGCCCTTGGTTTTCTGGACGATCCTGAAATGATGCACTTGCCCTTTTTTATGTTCTGCAGGGAAACTCAAGACGGTGCTTCTCTGCTGCCCTGAAATCTTCACCATGCACCAGAGGGACATCGACAGCATTGTCGGAGTTCTCAAGGAGAAATGTCTTTTCACGGTACAGCAGGTGACCAGGATTTTGCACAGGTGCCCGTATGTTCTTCAGGAGGACCCCGGTGAACTGGAGTACAAGTTCCAGGTGAGGGTGCCTGGTCGGGGGTTTGGGAAGGGACAGCCAGTGCTTCAGCTGTAGGGAGGGGCCGCTCCACCGAGGGAGGCCTCAGGCGCCCTGAGGGTGAGTGGATGAGGCGAGGGGCTTAGATCCTCTTTGCAGGAGCCAGAGAGAATCGGCCTCTGGTCTTTCACCCCTTTATGTAGGACCTGTTCTGCAGTTTTTCTGCCATTGATGGGGGGTCACCCAGTCTCACTCCTGGGGGCCAAACGGGGCCTCTGCTTGAAATAGCTAATTTAAAAAGAGCTGAAAATCTTCCTTTCTTTAGAACCTATTCTGCATGTTGATTTTAGAAGTGTAATTGTGACAGTTGTCCCAACTTTTGGGTAACAATTATGACAACTTAGGTCAAATTGTTAGATGTTTTCTGAATTTTTTGCCTGTTCTTTCCATACTCACGGTTTTTTCCCTGAGAAAAACAGAACTGAATTTATCTCCCTTGTCCCTTTATTTTCTGCTAAATTTTTCTCAATATGAATTTGAAAATGTTTTGAAAACTCAGTCGTCACATAATTGCCGGGTGTCATGGAGTGTCCTGCCACTGTTAGTTGGGTGGCCCTTTGTGAGTGCGTTTGGACAGCTTGAGGCGATTATGGACCGTAGAAGGGCCGGTTGTAAGTCACTGTGCCTGGGCCTCCTAACTGTGTCTGTGTCTCCAGTATGCCTATTTCAGGATGGGGGTTAAGCACGCGGACGTGGTGAGGACCGACTTGCTGCAGTATTCCATCACCAAGATCAAGCAGAGACATGTGTTCCTCGAGCGCCTAGGACGGTACCAAACCCCTGATAAGAAGGGCCAGACCCAGGTCCCCAATCCTTTACTCAAGGACATCCTCAGAGTGTCAGAAGCTGAGTTTCTGGCCAGGACAGCCTGTTCTTCTGCTGAGGAGTTTGAAGTTTTTAAGAAGCTCTTTGCTCGGGAGGAGGAAGAGAAGTCCGAGAGCCCCATGCCTGACCATAAAAGCTTAAGTCTGGACGAGGAAGAGGAGGAGGAGAAAGAGGAAGAGGAGGAGGAGTGATGGAAGGACAGGAGTGAAGAGCCCACAGATATCCAAGAATGTTTTAATTTTCTCAGAGCTCTTGAGAGCTTCACTTGGATCTTCTCAGGTTATTTTTCCTTCTAAAACTGGTCTTCTAGTGAAAACATTGTTATAAATCACCTGAGAAGCAGGTCAGACTAAGAAGGAACTGCATTAGTTTGATCTGTCGTCGGATCTCTGTGGGGAGGGCCCTGTTCCATCCTGAATGAGAGTTACTCTGAGCTGTTAAACTCAGGGGGACTGAGTATCTCAACATCCGGTTTTGTTTTTTTCTCTGTTACATACGTGGGTGATGATTCCATGATTGTGGGGAATGGGGTTCCTCCCTCTGGTTCGAGTCAATATATATTTCCTTCTAGTGATAAAGATAACAATTATGAGCAGGCAGGGAGGCTTTTGTACATCACAGCACTTTATTCTATGAAAACAAGTAGCCGGTTTCCCACAGAAACACTCGTGTTTTCCATCCACACATACTGCTTCCTAACTGCATTCAGCATCCGGCAGCGTAAAGGGAGTTGTTAGTGATGTGTGTTTTCATCTCGCACAGCTTCTTGTTGCCATTGGAGGGTTGGGGGGCTGCTCTCTATGTCTGTGAGGACGAGGCCCTGGCTCTGACCTCTCAGGAAAGTTGGCCTCCCTGCGAGGCCAAGCTCACGGCCGGTGGGCCACATCCAGGCCTGAAGGCTCTGGCGGCCACAGGAATGTGGCCTGGAGTGCGCCAGAACAGGAAGGGGCTGGGGCGGTCTGATGTCATCTCCCTATCGCCCGTTTCACACAGTGGCTCCTGAGACCAGAGGAGAAGAGGAGTCACACGGGGTCTTTGGCGGGGTGGGACCTGGTCTCCTTCAGGGGGCCCCACGACAGCATGGTGCTGGGAGTCCCCTCGGGGAACCCGGTGGGCCTCAGGGGTGATTTAAAGAGCGGAATGTGATAGAAGTCATCTCTGAGGTAGAGGCCCGGCCCTGATGGTCTGGGCTCCGCGAGGGAGGGCTGGTGCACCTCAGAACGTCCTGGTGTCTGTCCCTCCCTTCGGGGGAGCCGGCACGGGGTTGGTGACGCAGAAGACGTTTTTGGTGATGCAACCAAAATCCAGGTCTTGGCAGCATTTTAACAACCATGTGAAAGTTCTGGTGCTCGGCCTTATTTTTCCAGCAGAGACTGTGCAGGAATCCTGTGGGGCAGCGGTTCCCACCTGTGGCGATCTTGACCCCAGGGAACGTCTGGCAACATCTGAGAACGTCTCGGTTGTTAGGACCGAGGGAGGGCGCCGTTGGGATCTAGTGGAGGCGAGCGCTGCCGTTCAACATCCTGCCAGGCCCGTGACGGCCTCACTGCAGAACCATCCAGCTGGGGTGTCAGCGGGGCCGTGGCCAAGGAGCAGCTCTAAAGCCTGGTCCGGTGGATTGTAAGCAGGCTTATGTTTGTTACATTTCTCGTATTTAAGAGAAAAGTCAGTAGCTGCGTGTTTGCGTTCCGTTCCCCCATGCGCTGGAGTGTTCTTGTAGTCTGAGCTCTGTTTGCTGTGGGGACTCAGCACCAAGGTACTTCTGTTTTCTCCGGGCTCACGTGTGAGCGTGACCACACAGAGCCACGTTCGGCGGAAGGAAAGGAGCCCAGTGAGTCCCTGTGTGGTGTCGGAGGCCAGTGTCGTGGCAGTAGCTGGCCGGCAGGAGGGTCCCTGCCGAGGCAGCTGCTGGAGGTGGCTGGCCCTGGGTTTGCCAGAGGGAGAGCAGCAGGATGGGTGAGGGATTGCTTCTGTGGCAGCCCACGTGCGGCGGCGGAAGGAAGGTTTTGTCTTCACTGGGTTCTCGGCCGTGGGCAAGGTTATGTGAGAACGAGAGCATTTCACTCTGCTGGCGTTTTCACTTTTCTGTTTTGTGGCGTCCGAGTGACCAGTACTCTCCCTCAGATGGGCTTTTGTGTCCAGTCGGGGGACTAAGTGGAATTACAAATTTCTATGACTGGAATGGCTAACCTAGCAACTCATGATTGCTCCTTGCATTTTGATGCAGAAATAAATTTCTACGCACCTGATAATTTTCTGATTTGCATTATTACTAATTTCTTCAGGTGGAGTTTGAGCGTATGTTCGAGGAAGACGCTACAGTTTTGTGAAAGAACTGTGTGAAAAAAGCAGTGTCTCATTTAGAATGTTTCCAGGATGAATTGTGATTCCTTTAGCATCAGGAGATGTTTTTACTAGACTTACTAGATTTGTAAAACATCACGATGAGTTCATCATAAGACGGCACCAAGCTCAGGATTCAGTAGACTGTTTCTTGTAGAAACAAACGTTTCTGAGTTAAAAACTGAAACACGCTAGTGTTCGCCTCACGGCTGAGGGGCTTGAGGTCATTAGCATCGCAGTAGAAAGTTTCATCTCCTTTTCCAGTGATATCACTTGATCTCGCCACTTGCTGGTGATGCTGTAGCTTTCCGTAGGCACACAGCGACAGGTCCCAGGGACACAGCAGAAGTCAGCAGTACGCGTGTCTGTACGTGGTCTCCTCTCACTCCCCCAGTGCCGGAGCCCGCAATGAGCTCCCCCGTCTTCTCCAGGCGGGCCTGGGTCACTGGGGACGCTCTTGAAATGACCGTCTTTCCTTTCTGAAAAGGACAAATCGCATAATACACAGACATATGCACACAAAATTTTAATGAAAACAAAAAGCCTAAAATATACTCTAACTCTTCAAAAAAGTGATTTTAGAAAAGATGACGGGAAGGAGCCCTCTCTGTGCTGGAATGCAGACTTGGGGCAGTGTCTGTGGGAGGCGCCCAGGGGCTCGAGTTCATGTTGGGTCGGCTCCTAAAATGTACGCGACTCGAGGTGGGTTGGCTTGCTTGCTTTTGGCCTCCTCAGGGAGAAGACTGCTGGTAGAAGACTCTGGAAGGCATATGTGGCGAGGCTGCGTGGCCCCCTGTTTGCAGAGACGAAGTGTGTGAACGGCCGCGAGCCGACTGCCTACAGCAGTGTCGCTCAAGGCACGGGCTGAGCATCTCCAGCGTGATCGGGTCTCTGTGGCACCCGGCCCCGAGAGGAGGAAGGAGCCCCTGCTGTGCGCCGTGGGTACCCCCTCGGCTTCCCGAGTTGGGGGGCTCGCACGGGGCTTCCGTGCAGCTCTGGGGTCTTTGCTGCCGAGGTGCGTCATCGGGGCATGGCTTTCTCTGCGCGAGGCTGAGGCCTGGGTGACCCAATCGAGCGGGGCTTAGCCAAATGGGTAGATGAGGTCTTACTGGAACACAGCCACACCCGTCCGGTCACACGTCTGTGGCAGGGCTGCTGTGAACGCGGAGCTGAGTCGTTGCCACGGAGACCGTCTGGTCCACGGAGCCAAAAATAGTCACTGTTTGGGAAAGGGTTGGAGGCTGGAAGTGTGTAAACCCCATCTTCGTATTTATTGTACTTTCTCTTTCCAATCTGCTGGACCGGGTGCCGGGTTGCGCCTGCAGCAGACGAGCGGGGGCGATGGTGGAGGAGGGTCCGACGGGCACCCAGCCCTCGGCTTCCCTCGCGGTGGCGCCTCATCGCGGCCCCTTCCTGGCGCCGCCGCCTCTGCCTGGGGGGCTTGAGAGCCGCTCGTCCTCAGCGTGACTGTGAGGTCTCGGGGGGAGAACTGCCCCCCGACCTCGGAGTCCCAGAGCAGGTGTCTGGATGTCGCAGGAGCGTTCCTGGCTGGCTGCCTCGCTTATCCGGGCCGATGCCTGATGCCTGGGCTGTCCCCGTAGGAAACGGCAGCCGGGCTTACAGCACGGGCTGCTAGAAGTGTCGCAGAGCCTGGAGGTGACTCAGCCCAGAGGGCGTCCCTGGCGTGGCCTTGGCCGTCTGTCTCGTAGAGGCGGGGGAGGGAAGCTGCAGAGGGTTCGGGCGCTAGCCAGGACCTGATGTCTCAGGCGCCCGTCTCAGTCCACTTTTAGCCCTGTCTTTCTGGGCTCTGGAAGCTCACGAGGTTGATGGAGTGTAACAAGGACGTCCTGAATCCTTTGAAGGAGAAAGAGAACGGGGCGTGAGGAGAGTGATACCCATACCTCTTTAAAACGCAGCTTCCTGTCCCCCTAGCGGTGCTCGGTCCCCGCCCCCAGGTGGCCCCGTGTTCCTGTGCATCAGAGCCTCGCTGAGCTCTCCAACACTCAGCAGGGGGAGGGCAGGTGTGCCGAGGAGCTCTGGCTGCACAACCCCGCGGTAGGGGTGTTCGGGCGGCACCGCAGGCCGCCGGCTGCTCCCTTCCGTTAGGCGATGCCCTTGAATTTTGGCTCTGAAGACACAGGCTGTCCCTTGTTGCTCTGGATTGAAATGAACTCCTGTTGGTGGTGTTTTCTCCATTGTTTGAAGAATGGGTGTCCTGGAAGCTAGTATTTGATGATCTGGGAGTTAATTGAGGGTTTCTGATTTGTTCTTATACTAATGGACTTGTTGAGTTTTAGAGAAAGGTACTATTCTTTCAGGTGACTTATTGTGATACAAAGGTTTCAGACCCAAGCTATACTTGTGGGTTCTTGTCCCGGTAGCAAATTGCTCGCGAGCCGTGGGGCGTGTGTTGCGTTGTGTGTCTGTGGGGTATGAAATGGGAGGGGAATGATGCCTTTGGGTAGACAAGCTGAACGCAGAGGCTTGTTGAGAAGTCGGCCCGGGGACGGCTGCCAAGGCCGCGCTGTGCGGACCCCAGCCTCGGCTTTCCCCGCTTGGCTGGGGTGGATGCACTTCCTGTGGTGGCGCCTCCCCTGCGAGGCTCTTTTGCTTCTGCTTGTTTGGAAAGGCTCTGAGAAACATTCCTCCTCCATCTCCTCAGTCCATAAGATGGTATAGCCTGTGCTGAAGCTGCCTGTTCCCTGAGGTGCCTCACTTTCCTCTCAACACCAGGAGGATGGACTCGGGAGGCTCATTTATGGAGCAGGAGGAGTGAGCTGCCCGGGGTGGGGTGGGGGTGGGGGGGGTGTGCCACCTTATTCCTGGTGACGCTCAGCATGGGACTGATCTGGGCTGTAGACAGGTCTTCGTGGTTCAACCCGATATGTCCCTGTTAGGAAGACTTGGACAGAGTTTATGGGTGGCGAGTAAGCCGGGTGGCGTGGAGTTTCCAGGGGAGTTTGGGAAATGCCAGATCAAACAAGAATAGGGCTAGAGAGTTTCTTCCATTCCAGGATTCCGAATGCTCAGGATTTCTGCGTCCATTGGGAATTGCCCAGTGAGGGAGTCGTCAGGACTTCCCCAAAGTTACGTGATCAAGGTCCCTCACCCCATTTTTTCTTTCAACGTATCGCCATTCACGGAGTCTGGGAGCCCTCCTTTGAACCCTGCGCCCCTGGGTCTGCGTCTCTCCAGGCCCCTCTGACCACCCTCCCTTCCCAGCTCCCCACCTGCCGCCACCCCTCACGGCAGCCCCCGTCAGTCCTGCCCCCTGCTGCTGCTGCTGCTGCTGCTGCTGCTGGGGGGCTGGGAGGGGTTTCTCCATTTGCTTGAGGTAGAGTGAGACTCGTGCTCACCCCCAGGTGCATCTCTACCAGGTTTATGTGTATTCGGAGGCCTTGGGTATTTGTTTTTTCTCTCCCGTTGTAGCCCCCTCAGAGAGTTCTGAACCCCCTGGTCTGGGGGTTTGTAACAGGGTACAGCTGGGCCCCGAGGACATGGCAGCCCTCCCGGAGCCCGCCTGCCGGGCCAGCCCCTCCGACCTCCCAGCGGCTCCACCAGCCACCCGGCCGGGGTGGGAAACATACCTGTACCTAAGATTTCTTCAGTGTTGGACTGTTGTTACTTTGTTTCCTGAAATAGAAAAAGGCGGTTTAACAGAAAAGAAACTGTGTACCTGGAGCCCAGGCTGCCTGCTGGGGTCCCTTCTTTGGCTCAGGTATATTCCATTTTGGGGAACACCGTTAGCGAGGCGCTGATGCAGAGACTAGCATTTTAGTGTCTGTGCACCCACTTGACCGGCTGTGAGTCACGGGGAGGAGAAGGAGAGTGGAAGGGACAGGGACATATTTGGCCAAGCAGGTGTCGAATTGCACACTGCGGTCTTTCCCTGACAGTAATGCAAAAGCTAAGGTGTGTGGTTGGTTACTGGTTGGTCTGTCGGAGCGACTGGGGTGAGGACTCTTCTGTTTGGGAAGCATATAATGTACTCGGGCAGTACATTATGTAATAACTCCTGTGAGTCCCTGGGGCCCTTTGGGGAAAGAACCTGGCTGTGAGTAAATAAAAAATAGAGATTTACTATATTTGCAGTTACATATGTGCACCTGTCAGTGATGTCCCCTGCTTCCCAATTCACAGGTACTGTGTGAACCACAGGTACTGTGTGAACATGCATAACCAGAGACCCTCTAAGCACCCACCGTGTGACCCCCAGCACCCACTGTGTGGTCTCCCCCGCACCCACCATGCCTGGCTTGACCAATCTGTGCGTGTTCAGGTGCACACGTACGTGCACACAGTTTCTAAGTGGAGTGTCCATACGGGGCTGGACATTTGGACAAACACACGAGACAGCCTGGCTCAGCCCACAGGACTGTGGCAGCCCACAGCGCTCTGTCCCCAGGGCCACCTTTGCCCCGTTACCCTGTGAGCTATACGCAGAACACCGTGTGGGCCTCCTCCCTGAGATGGCACCTGTTCGGGGTTTTCTTGCCGCTCGTGCTTTCACAGCTCTCTTTGAAGCAGATGTCCTGGTGCACCTTGTAGACTCTCTTATACCTGTGTCACAAGAAAGTTCTGTGAAGCCAGAAACTAGAGCAGGATGTTGCCCAGCTGCCTCACCTAGGCTTCATGGGCCCGCAGTGACTGTGCACGTGTTCGAGGGACAGGTCGTTATTTTCTAAATAAAACTTTATCTCACGTGGATGTAATAAAATGTCCAACATAAAAGTCATACGATTAAAAAAAAATGGACTGCCCTGAGGCATAATTTACATAAGATACACCCATTTTAAATGTGCATTTTGAGAAATGTGGGCAAAAGAACGATATTAAGACATGAGAGGAGAAATTTCAAGCACGTGTTTTGCTGAAGCCTTGATACAGTACGACTTTTCTGTCTTAGGGGCAGTTCTTGGAGAAGTTTGAGAGCCTTGAAGATGCAGGTGCTTGTCACGGACAGCGTAGACTCCAGCCCTGCCTCCCATTTATTAACTTGTCTACTTGGAGTGTGTGTCTGGAACCTAGGCCTCAGTTTTGTGTGAAACGGGAATTATTTGTGTTACCTCTCACAGATTTGTAGACAATAATGAGCAGGAAAGTGTTTGTTGTTAAAGCTCTCAAATGTCAGAGCTGTTGGAAAGGGAGATCCAGGGAGTGTGATGGGCAGACCTCCAACTCATGTTCAGTCTAGGAGAGCCCTTGGGACTTAAAGCCTTTGGTTAAGTCTCTCTCACACTTGTGGCCATCAGGGAGTAACAAGATCTGGAGTGAACCCCCCGATACGAACAACCGGAGAACTGGACAAAATGTAAGCAGCAGTTTTCAGATGTTAGAAAACATACAGTGCAAGACTGTGGTCCTTGAGACAAGGGACATATGAAATGAGCCCTGTAACCCCTGAATTCAGTCTGGAGGCATGTTTTGGACTGCACTGCAGGGTGGCGGCGGGGGAGTGGTGCACTGCAGTGTGGTGGCAGTTGGGGGGGGAGGCGCGTGGGAGCCAAGCAGTGGTCACACTGAGTTGAGGGAACAGAGGTGAGAATTGAGGAGGTAGAGGCAGCTGTGGTCTGTGGGGCAGAGCACTGGGGAGGAGGGAGCTATGTAGAGGACGAGCTGAAGCCTGGAGAAGGGTCCCTTTGAAAATTAAGCTGCGCACACATGTGGTAGAGTCCCCTGAGGCTGGGCAGGGGGAACTACCGAGAAGCTGAACAATTGAGCTAGCGCAATCTTCTATCCATAAACTAGAAGCTCCAGAAAGACCATGGCTTAGAAGGAGGGAAAATGAACACAAATCACCCTAAAACAGCCTTCAAAAAGATCAAACTAAAATCAGCTGCCTTGTAGAACATAACTAAGGTTCTTGGAAATACACACACAAAAAACTTAGCACTCAGTAACATAAAGTTCACAATGTCCAGCATCCAACAAAAAATTACAAGACATTCAAAGACTCATACAAAGTATCAAGAAAATGTGACCCGTGAACAGCAAACAATAATTGAATAGAAAGACACTCCGACGGGAGCGCAATGGCAGGAAGACCAGACAAGGACCATAAAACGTGTCACAGATTTGCTCCCATATGTTCTGTGATCTGAAGGAAAACAGAAGCAGTGAGGATGGAGAGGAAAGACATGTGAAAAGACTGGATTGGATTTCCAGAGATGACGAAGTGAAGATTTTGCTGAGTGAGTGGGATTGATGGCAGGTGAGACCGTGCGGAAGGAAAGATCATGGAGCTCAAAGGCACAGCTGTGGAATCGATCTACAGTGAAGTAGAAGAAAGGCTGGGAATGATGAAAAGCACCTTGGGGAGCTGAAGGGACTATGTCAGTCTAGCACCTGCATGATTGGAGTCACGGGACAGGAGAGAAATGGAGGGACGCTGAGAATACCTGAAGAATAAGGGCCCGAACCCCAGAGATCCAAGAAGCCCAACAAACTCCTGAGAGCAAAACCATGTACACGAGCACGTCCAAATGCAGCACGCTCAAGTTTCCCAGAGACGGTAGAAGAGAGTAAGAGCGGCCGTGGGGGGTGGGGGTGGGGGGGTCACGTCACACGGGGGGAGAAGAGTGAGTGCAGCCTGGGGCGCCTGGGTGGCTCAGTCCGGTAAATGTCCGACTTCGGCTCAGGCCACGATCTCCTGGTTTGTGAGTTCGAGCCCCGTGTTGGGCTCTGTGCAGACAGCCCAGAGCCTGGAGCTGCTTCGGATTCTGTCTCTGTCTCTCTGTCTCTCTCTCTCTGTCTGCCCTCTCCCACTTGAGTTCTGTCTCTCTGTCTCAAAAATAAATAAGCATTAAAGAAAAAAAATGAGTGCAGTCTTCCTGAGACCATGCAAGTCACAAGACAAGGAGGGGCCACTCTAAAGCGCCAAAAGGAAAAGCCCAACTGTCAGCCAGGAATTCTACATTCAGCAAATACATCCTTCAAAAACGAAGGTGAGGGGCGCCTGGGTGGCGCAGTCGGTTAGGCGTCCGACTTCAGCCAGGTCACGATCTCGCGGTCCGTGAGTTCGAGCCCCGCGTCGGGCTCTGGGCTGATGGCTCGGAGCCTGGAGCCTGTTTCCGATTCTGTGTCTCCCTCTCTCTCTGCCCCTCCCCCGTTCATGCTCTGTCTCTCTCTGTCCCAAAAATAAATAAACGTTGAAAAAAAAAAACAAAACAAAACAAAACAAAAACGAAGGTGAAATAAACCCTTTCCAGACAAAAGCAGAGAGAGTTCATCGCCAGCAGGCCTGCACTGTGAGAGGGGCCACAGGAAGTTGTTCAGGCAAATGGTGCCCGAGGGCGTCTTAGGTCTGTAGGAAGGAATACCAGGTGCTGGGGATGAACACGGAAGGGAGAACAAGAGACTTGACTCTCAACAGGTTTTAAAAAGGTAACTGTCCTTTGAGAGCCGGCACACCATACTGTATGGTTCAGACTGTGGAAGTAAAGCGTCCGGCTACGGTCGTTGACGGCCTGAGGGGAAGTGAGCCTGCCGTAGCCGGAGCCTTCCATCATCTGAGCTCGTGTGGCAGCAGTTAAAGGTATGTTGTGCTGAGTTGAAAATGCATATTGTGGATCCCATAGGCATAGTCACCACAGAACATTCGACCGAACAAGTATTACCAGTAAACCAACTGCAGTGGTAAAACAGAATCCTAAGAAGTAACTGGTCCAAATGTAGGCAGGAAAAGAGAGAGAAAGGAACAGCGATCGGATGGGACAAATAGAAAACGCACAGCAATATGGTGGATTTAAACCCAGTCACGCCGGTCATCACGGCAACATGTGGATGGTGTAAACACCCCAGTAAAGACCAGAGGCGTCAGACTGGATGTAAAGCGAGACCCCCACGTGCTGAACACGAGAAAGTCACGTCCAGGCACGTGGTTAAGGTGAGAGGACGGAGAGCTGTTGACAGGTGGGTGGGCCTAGCAGGCACCGGTGTCTCTGGCTCAGTTGGAAGGTGGGGGACGCTGCAGGTTAGGGCTGCTGTTGCGCAGAACCAAACTCACACGGTCTGCGCACGTGGATCCACGGGCGCCAGTGCAGCTCAGCACCCCTGTAGCTCCTGCCGTGTGCGAGGCCTGGCTTCCTGTCCACGTTCAGAGCAAACCTACCTGGCCTTCCCGCGTCCCATCCAGAGTGATCTTTAGACACGTGACCGAACAGGTCACTCCTCTGCTCGGCATCCTCAGTAGCTCCCCGTTTCCGAACACGTGCCAGCGTCCTTCCAAGGGCCTCCAGGACCCTGCTGGGTTCCTGCTGGCCCACCTGACCACCACTTCCCCTGGCTCCCCTCCAGCCCCACTGGCCTCCTTGCCGGTCCTCAGACAGGCAGACATGTTCCTGGCTTAGGGCCTTGGCGACTGATATTTTGACTTTCTGGAATGTTCTCCCCTCAGGTATCCCTCACCCCCTCCGTGTCTGTTCAATGTCGTGTTTCCACGAGGCTTCCCCTGACACCCTGTGTGATGCTGCAGCCGGCCCCTCCCCGTCCCCCAACCCTGGCTCTCCTGGCCCCACCTGTTCATCTTTTCCCCAGCCCTACATAACATGCTCCTGCTGCTGGTGTCCTGTCTCGTCGAAAGTGGAAGGATCACGAGGGCAGGACTTTGGCCAGTTCTGCTCACGGGCATGTGCCGAGTGTGTTTGTTAACCAAACACATTGTAAGTATGACCCAAAGGGCCACAGGGTGTTAGCAAGAAAGGTCCTGTGAGATGAGCCAGGCCAGCTCTCCCTCTGCAACCCATTTTACAGATGGGGAAGCCAAGGCATGAACGTCATGACCTAATGGCAGGACGGAGACTTGCGTTCTCCTGTGCGGTTGCTTATCTTTCCTGGGGGCTCGGAGGCAGAGAGGAGGGGACGTCATTTCCTGACATCGATGTACATGTTGCCCTGCCGTCCAGTGAGGGGGTGGGGTGATGCCACTCAAGGGTGCGGGAGAGGAAGGTCCGAGGGGTCAGGAGCCAGGGGACCAGGGTTTCCTGCACGGACTCGACAAGCTATTCAGCCGTCTGCTTCAGCTTCCTGATGTGTTACATGGAGGGAAAGGGTGCAAGCCCCTGTGTGACCTCAACCCCCAGACCTCCTCGGGGCTTCTAAGGGTGGGTGAGCTGGGCTTTGTGAAAGCACCTCTGGAAGCCGGGAACTTTCCACAAATGTGGTGAGAGCGGGAGAGAAACTTACACGTGGTGGCAGGCGCCTCCTTCCCAGACGGGCACAGCCTTGGTCTCGGAGAAGAGCCTAGTGCAGGGCTGCGGCACCTTGGTGCAGGCTGCCGGCACAGAGGGAGGGAGAGGGCCGAGGCTTGGCACTGAGGTCGCACCCCTCCCACAAGTGCGGGGTTGCCCTGGCCCCTGGCAGCCCCAGGCTGTCGGCTCTGCCCGGCCACGGGGCTGAGCAGCTGCTGTGGAGACTTGGTCCACGCCCCCCCCCCCCCCCTTCAGTCCCAGATTCTTCTTAGTGGGGGAGGCCGGTGGCTCTTCCCCCTCCTGCTACCACGTCTGGCTCTGGGGATGCTCCATGTCCCTTGCTTTCTGACTGTCCCCAGCCTCCCCCGTTCTCTGGGCAGCACCCCTCACCCTGGTGCTTCGGAACTCACTGCGCCTCAATATCCCTACCCGGGCACCGGAGTCTGGGGCACCAAAGCTGGGCCCCCGTCCTGGCACCTGGAGGTCGGAGGTCCTTGTGGCAAGCCCACCCTGGGCCCAGGGTTCCCATCACAGTCGGCTGTGACAGGTGATTTGAGACCTGGGTCCCCACAGGAGGGAGCGGCCCCCGACTTACCCAGCTCACAGCGTCTGCCTTTGAACCCTGGGCTGCAGTCACAGCTGTGGGTGTCCACACCTGGCACGCAGGTGCCTCCGTTCTGACAGGGGTTTTCTGAACAGTTCCCAGGAGTGTCTGCGAACAAGCCATGAGCAGTTAGTTGCCGGGACCCCAGAGGAAGGGCTGCCAACGTTGCCCCGTGGCTGCCTCCTGCCGTCCGCAGCGCTCCCGGGCCCTGGGGGTGGTCCGCTGTCCAGCGGTCCGAGAGCAGAGGTGGGAAGGTTGGCCTCAGTGTGCTTGTCCCTGACCCTGCACCTCCAGGGAGGGGGATGACTCTGGGGCCCGCAGTACAGAGGCACTCCAGCCCCGCTCCGGCCTGCGGTCCCTGCCGCTGCCACCCTGCACTTGGAGCCCCCTCCTTGTCCTCCAGTGCCTGTCCCCAAGCCCCCAGCCAGCCCTCTGCAGGCCTCCATGCCGCACTGCTGGCGGCTGGAGGCAGAGGGTGTCGGTGCTGCTGCCCGGGAGGGCCAGGCCCGGCTTTTTCCCTCAGACCTGCCTTTTGTTTTCTTTTTCTTTAGCTTTGTCAAGACGCCTGTTGTTTTCCTTTTTAACTTAAAAAATTGAGGGACACGAAAGAGAGAACTGTGCGCAACCACCACTTCCAGTAGCGGAAGGCCCGTCCCCTCTGCATCTCCTCCCACGCCCCCTTCTCAAGACCTCCTCGCGGCTGGGTGCTGACCGCAGGCCTCACACCTCCCTTGGGCCCTCCTGGCCCTTGGGGGCTCTGTGCTGGCCGGTTCTCATTCCTCACTGTATCTACGCCACTTTCCCTCCTTCCTCCCCTGACTCTGGTCTGGGACTCGTCTTCTTGCCCTTCCTGGTGTGCTAAAGGTGAGTCGTCAGCTTTTACGAGAAAGTTTTCTTGTTGAAAACTTAGAAATCTGTAAAATGCCGAGTATGAAGAGCCCCATGAGCCATCGCTCAGCTTCAGGGATCTCTGGTATCTTGCCAATCTCATTTAATCTGTTCCCATTTCTCACTGAAGAATTTTGAAGCAGTTCACAGAAACCATTTCACCTATAAATATAGCAGGTGTCTGATACGTACAGATTTTTATAAATTTTTACGTAAGCACAACGCTATTTCTGCGAAATCAGCAGTAGCTCCTTAGTACTGTAAGAAATCGCAGTCCTTGTTCAGGTTTTCCCTGATCATCTTAAAAATGTCATTTCCAGCTGGTCTGATCTAATTAGGAGTCCTAAGGACACACTGCCTTAGTTTGATGTATCTCTCTTTTAATCTGTAACTTTTCGTCTTTCCCCCATCTGCATTTATTAAAGAAACCAGGTCATTTGTCCTGTACAATCTCCCTCCTGGACTTTACTTATTGCTTTCTTGTGGCACGAACTCCTCTCCGATCCCCACATTTCCTGTAAACTGATCATCAGAGAGAGGGCTTGATAGGGTTCGGTTTCAAGTGGTCTTTGCAGGACTGCTGCCCCCTTCCCCCTTCGCTACTCCAGGAGGCGTGTGATGTCTCTGTCTCCAGTTTTAGCGATGTGGGGATTGATCACTGCTTCAGCATCGGCAGCCTGATTAATCCAGGAGAAAGTTCTGATAGGCTCTGCACCTGACGGCTTGAGCGTCAGGAGATCTCGAGTCCCAGTTCCGTGATCTCACTAGGGCCGCATCTGACCCCAACTGTAACTCTTCTCCCTTCCTTGGCTGGAAGGCCTCCTGTGAGGACCTGCTTTCCCTTGCCCACTGCCTGGTCACCCTGAACTACAGTCCACATAGGCCAGGCCAGACAGATGCTTCATTCCTGCCCTTTATTTGTACACTTGCAGAGTAAGCATTGGTCCCCAGCCAGCTCTAAAAGGGACCAGCACATGGTGCTTGCTCTCGGTGCCATCGTCAACTCAGGGATGCTTCTGTATTTGATGGGACTCAGTCTGCAGCTGCCATGAGTCTTCGGTTATCCAGATGCCCCGGTTATCCGTCCTCTGCCTGTGGGAGCCTTTCAGGTCTGTTCTTGTGCTCAGGAGATAAAACCCCAGTTGTCTTTGAAAGCTTGCTTGTTTTACAAGTATGTCCTGGGTGTATTTTGTCCATATTCTGCTTCAGTCTTGGAATCAGCCGCTTCTCCAAAGACCCCTGGTTCCTTTAATCGGAGGGTGGCGTCTAGAGCCCACAGTCTGGGCGGCCAAGGTGCTCACTGCTCCTGGGGTGTCAGTGCTTCAGGCCTTTTCAGTGGACGGAACTAGGAACTTAGATTTAAAAATAAAAGTAAACAAATTGTGAGTTTATATCAATATTTAGTTAAGAAGGGAAACACAGGGATTTTACTTCTTTGATTTTATATTGTGTCTCTCTCCACTGCAAATCTTGGTGGCATTGACATAATTATTTTCGTTATCCCGCGGTGTACGTGTAACAATTCTAAATAGTACCACTGTGTCTACTGACATTGAGATCATTGAGTACAGCTTGAAATTTCTCTCAATTCTTCTCATAATAAGAATTCTTCTTATTAAATATATCCTTCTAGGAATGAATAGTCAGAAGGCTGTTTTTAAAATCACTTGAAATGATACTTTTTTCCGGTCTGGTTATGCCATCAACATGGTAAATAGGTTTATTTATTTCAGTTTGTTTTCAGTTATTAGGTGTTGCTTTTTCTGTGTGTCATTTGGGAAAAAAACACTTTCTTCGTTCTAAAATAAAAACTATAAAGACACATTCAGGGAAGTCTAGCATCCACCACCATCCCTTTGCTTCCTTGTTCTTATTTCCTTCCTCATACAACCATTTTTGTTAGTTTTATTTCTTTTTAAATATAAGAAAATAGGTGTGTTCGTATATCCCTTCCCCACTTTTCTACAGAAAAGAGATACTGAACACACTGGTCTACACGTTACGTTTTAATAATAGCTTTATTGAGATATAATTTAAATACCATACAGTTCACCCATTTTAAGTGTGTAGTTTATTAGTTTTTAGCATATTCAGAGGTAGGTGCATCCGTCACGACAGTCAATTTTAGAGTGTTTTTGTCATTTCAGAAAGAAACCCCACATCCCTTAGCTGTCATCCCCCACGCTACGCTGGTACCCCCAGGCGGTCACCCCCTCTACTCGCCTCTCCTCGCACCCCCAGTCCCAGGCAGCCACTGACTCTGCTTTCACAGTGGAGTGCCCTGTCCCGGACTTTCGTGTGAGTGGAACCATGTTATACAGAGTCTACTGTGACTAGCTTCTTTCACTTAGTACGATGTTTTCAAGGTCTACCTATGTCGTAGCCTGTGCCAGTACTTCTTCATTCCTTTTTATGGCCGAATCATGTTCCACTGTGTGGACCACGTTCCGTGTATCCGTTCGCCAGTTGGTAGACATTTGGGTTGTTTCCATCTTTTGGGGATGGTGAATGATGTTCTTATGAGCATTCGTGCACACGTCCCTGTGTGGGCATCTGTTTTCATTTCTCTTGGGTACATACCTAGGAGTGGTGGAATTTTCTGGGTCATATAATTCGGTTCAGCTCTTTGAGGAACTGCCGGGCTGTGTTCCCCCCAGCCCCGCCATGCTGCACCTGTCTTCCCTCAACCTGCTGCCCCTGCCTTCCCCCGACGCACTGCACCTGCCTTCCCCACCACGCGCTGCACCTGTCTCCCCTCCCCTCCACCCCCCCCGCCCCGTGCTGCACCTGCCTTCCCCCGTCATGCTGCACCACTCTACGTGCCCACCAGCAGTTTCTCCACATCCTCACCGGTGCTCATTGTCATCTTTTCGTTCTAGCCATCCTGCTGGTATGAGGTGGCATCTCACTGGTTTTGACTAGCGTTTCCCTGATGCCTAATGATGCCAAACATCTTTTCATGGGCTTCTTGGCCATTTGTGTATCTTCCTTCTAGGAATAAGTGTTTAGATCCTTTTGTCTGTTTCTTACTAGGATTATCTTTTATTCAGGCAGAGTCATTCTTTATATAGTTTGGATACAAATGCCTTTCAGGTATATGTTTGCAGATATTGTCTCTCATTCTCTGGGCTGCCTTCTCTCTGATAACGTCCTTTGAAGCACAAAAAGCTTTATATTCTGATGAGTCCAATCTGCCTTTTTTTCTTTTGTTGCTCAGGCTGTTGGTGTCTATCTAAAGTCTTTTGCCAAATCCAAGGTCATGAAGATTTACCCCTGTGTTTTTTCCTGAGAGTTTTACAGTTTTTGCCCTTAGATTTAAGTAGTTGGTCTGTTGGATTAATTTTGTGTATGGTGTGAAGTTGAGGTCTGACTTCATTCTTCTGCATGTGGACGTCCAGGGTTCCCAGCTCCCATGTGTCGAAAGCTGTTCCTTCCCCCATTGAATGGTCTTGGCCTCCTCGTTGAAATCAGTTGACCACAGACGTATGGGTTTCTTTCTTGGCTTTCAGTTCTGTTCTGTTGGTTATAAGCCTGTCCTTGTGCCAGTATCACACTGACCTATTACCGTTGCTCTGTGGTAAGTTTTGACAACGGGGTGTATGGGTCTTTCTGCTTTTTAAAGATAGTGTTTGTTATTCCGGGTCCCTTCCAATTCCATATGGAATTTAGGCTCCATACACCATGTCCATAGATATTTTATGGCAAGCTTACGGAACATGGCAGTGCGCAGGCCTGTGTGGAGCCCGTGAGCCTCTGCCAGCTACCCTCACCCTTTGTGATCGGGACACCAGGCTGCAGAGACTGACTGATGTTCGCTCCACTCTTGGGCAGCTGAGGCCCTAAGCCTGCAGGTCATGCAGCAGTGGGATTTTCACCAGGGCACTGCCCACTGTAGCCTCATCTTGTGAAGTCAGCCCACTGAATCCCGAGTTTATTGTGACCTATGCACCCTTTAACAGAGGTGGCTGTTTTGAACGGGGTGGGGAATGGGTATGGCTGCACTCTGGGGTGGTGGCAGTGGGAGGCTCCCACGTGATGATAAGTCACAGAGTAAAGAGGTGTAAGTTCTGCCCTTGCTGCTGTCACCCGAGGATGGAGACTGCCTGCCTGTCTCTGGTATGCAGGGGATAAAACCGGGAGAACCCCCAAATCCTGCTGGGGTGAGAATTTGGAGGAAACAGGAAGAATTTGACTAGCCTCAGTGGCCACTCCAGACCTCTGTAGGGGCAGGTTATGATCTTGGGGATCCTCCTCCTCTCCATGAACTTTCCCTGGGAGCTCAAAGGTGCACCCCTAACCCAGAGAGCTGCCTGGTGAGGAGACACCAATCAAGAGTGTTAATTGTAGTCTTTGGGTGTCTAGGGCTCTCTGGGGATCCTCCTTTCCTTGAGAAAGAAAAGTCTAAGAGCTTCCGGAGAAAATGAGCAGATATCCTACAAGGAAACAGGAATAAGATTGACACCCATTGACAGCAGTGCTGGACAGATGACAGGGGACTAATGTTTGAAGAACTGAAAGGTAGACAACCTTTGAACCTCGAATTTTATACCCACTCAAATTGTCTTTCATTTTTTTTTTTTTTAATGTTTTTATTTATTTTTGAGACAGAGAGAGACAGAGCATGAGCAGGGGAGGGGCAGAGAGAGAGGGAGGCACAGAATCTGAAACAGGCTCCGGGCTCTGAGCTGTCAGCACAGAGCCTGATGCGGGGCTCGAACTCATGAATCGCGAGATCATGACCTGAGCCAAAGTCAGACCGCCTAACCGACTGAGCCACCCAGGCGCCCCTCAAATTGTCTTTCAAATGTGACAGCTACTAAGAGCATTTTCAGGCATGTAGGGCCAAATCCCAAGTGCTTTGTGGGACTCCACAAGATGGTTATAAACTTAAAAAAATTTTTTTTTTAATGTTTATTTATTTTGGAGAGAGAGACAGAGACAGAGACAGAGACAGAGCACGAGCAGGGGAGGGGCAGAGAGAGAGAGGGAGACACAGAAACTGAAGCAGGCTCCGGGCCCTGAGCTTTCAGCACAAAGCCCGACACGGGGCTCGAACCCACAAACCATGAGATCATGACCTGAGCCGAAGTCTGGCACTCAACCTACTGAGCCACCCAAGTGCCCCTGGTTATAAACTTGTATAGAAAGACAGAAGACCAAGAACAGCCAACACTGAAGGTCGGAGTGAGTGGGTGGGCCCTGAGGGATAGCATGTCTTACCAAAGATAGCGCCATTAAAATCGTGGTGTTGGCTTCAGGAAGGCAAAACAGTGGAACAGAGCGGTGGACCCAGAGCCTTTGGTCAAGACCAATGAAAAGACGCTTGACCGTATCCGCATTCAAGACACAAATCCAGATCCCAAGGGGTGTGCTTCATCCCCATTCCACTGGCAGAATCTGGAAACCCTGCCAGATCAGTTTTAGAGAGACTGGCTTAACCACACTCTTGATCATAGCTGGAGGGAGTATGAACTCACGTCCCCACTCAGAAAACAGGTTCGCACTCTTGAGTGACTTGGGCTTTCACACATCCCAAGCCCAGCATTTCTGCTCTTGCACGTGTGCCGGGGGAAACACGTAGGAACTTGATGGTGACGCTGCCAGTGACAGCCCAACACGACCCAGGTGCCCTCTGGGCAAAGAGTGGACAAGGCTGTGGCGAATTCACTCGTGCGTGAATGAGCTGTGGCCACGAACGACAGCTCTGACCGACCTTACTGACGGTCCGGGAGGATGTGCACGGCAGACACCTTGTAACTAAAAAACCTCAACTGTTGAGGCAAACGTGGGTATGTGTGAGGCCCCCTCCCCACCGCCCACCCTGCAGCAGAGCAAAGGGACTTAACACGGAGTCCAGAGGCATGGCTGGCTGGCAGTACGACAGCGAGATACAGGTTCCTGTTCGTGTTCTAGTTCACGGGTCGGGTTCCACATCTAAAGGTCACTCGTTATCTTAGCAAAAGGTAACTTATTAAACTAAATAAAAGGGGCTGTCATGGTCCCCAGATAGGTGTAACAGGAACCAAAAGCCACAATTAACTTTGCACACCTCGGGGATGTTGATGATTTTTTTTCCTGTTGATCACCTGAAACCTCCTTTTGCCCCTCCCCCGCCTGCCTGCATTGCTCTCGTTAGCAAACACTGCAGATTGCAGTGTCGTCCGGGGCCAGCTTGAACCCCCGCCTTGAGGAGGAGCGGCAATTCACGTCTCTCTGGTTCCAGAGTTTTATGAGACGCAGCGTCTCATATTGAAAAGGTCTGACTAACACAGACCCTCTGATGACACGGGTGCTTATGTCACTTACAAACCAACAGCAACATAATTTTTACTTTACTCTGCACCCACCTCAACTAATGGGGTCATGCAGACCACCCTCTCGGGGCTCCTCGGGCTGAAGGCAACTCCAGGCACACACACCCTCTGGCGCAGATGCCCTTGATGTGTGCGGGAGTCCTTGGGTCACCCGGGGCAGGCCTGCAGGCGAGACGCGCCCTCGGAGGCGGCATCTCGGGCACTTGGCTCACCGTTCCCGCCTTCCTTGGGGTCTGGTTGGTGGGAGGGCCCAGCCTGGGCCTGTGGTGTGACTTGGGAGAAAGGGCCGCTGGGTCCTGCAGGAATGGTCCCCAGAGGGACCCAGCCCCAGGGGTTAGAGCGAGGAGGAAAGGTGGGGCCGGGGTCTGAGTTTGGGTGACGGACGTGTGTCTCGGAGCTGTCCCGGCTGCCCCTCCGGGACTTCTGCACCCTGCTCAGCACGGTCCTCTGGAGAAGCAAGGGCTGTGCTTTCTGTTGGGGGGGGAAGGGGCTGCCCTCCAGGGCAGGCCTGGGTCGTTTGGGTGAGTGTGCTCCCAGCCTGTCCTCTGTACACAGAGATGTGGGCGCCGCGGCCCGTGTGGTGAGCTTCGCCCACCCTTTCCAGGACGGGGTGTTTGGCTGCTCCTTGGGCAGCTCTGTGTCTCCCGCTTCTTCCCTGTGGGCGGCCCCCTCCTCACCTCCGGCCCTAAGGCCCCCTAAGGTGGTCAGCTCTGAAAGTCCACTCCTGCTGACTTACTTTCCATGTCCTTGTCGCTGCTGCGTTCAGGGAGCTGGAGGGCCAGGCCGACCTGCTCAGGCGCCTGCTTGGGGGCCTCCTCCGTGTTCTCGAGCTGCGCCAGAGCCGTGGGTTCTAGGAGAAACGAGAACGCCCCGGTGTGCTGACCACACAGCCTGCTGCCTCATGCCCAGGATTGTTCTTGGGTGTCCTTGAGCTGCTTCTCTCCCTCAGGGTGCAGGGATGTCCGTGGTGAGCGCTCGGTGCCCACTTCCCTGCTGCCCCCTCCCCCACTTGGGCAGAGTCCCACGGGCCCCTGCACTCCCTCCAGCAGGAGAGCTTTCCTCCCTGTCCTGCTGAACCTCACAGCTGCTTTGGTGAAGGTCACCGGTGGCCTGAGGCTGGGCCGAATGTCCTATCCAACCCGGTGGCCCCATCCCTCCAGGTGGCTGATGCTGTGCTGTCCTTCCTGTGGTCAAATTCTGCTCTCTTCTCTCTCCACCCCTGCTTCTGGAGGGCTGTGGTGCCTTCTCCACCCCCATCCACCTTCAGGCGGACCTTGTACTTGGCCACCCCTGTGTGTAAGTCTGCTTTTCTGAGGGGTCCCTGCCTGTGTGCTTAATGGCTTTAGGAGGGTGTCCAGACCCAGCCCAGCCTGCGCAGCTGCCCAGACACCTGCCCGGGCCCTTCCTGCTCCTGGCCGCTGTGTGCGGCGAGCCGTTCGGCCGCTCCTCTGCTGGCCGCCAGGGCTGCGACACCACCCGCTCATCACTCTCCCTTTTGTTCCCTGGCCCAGGAATGTCTGTGTTGGTTGAAAATCCTCACTAAACTGGTAATCAGGTTCTCTGCCAGGGAATCCATGAGGACGGGCCCTGGTTTACAGCGTCCTGAGGGCCTTCGGGGCAGGGCAGCCAGTGGGCGTGTGGCTCCTGGCCTGCTGTGCCACAGTCTTGGGGAGGACCTGTTGCAGACAGGTTCCTGGCCACCTGCTCCTGCGGAAGCACATGAGAAGGGGCCAGGCCATCGGGGCCCATCGCCCATGCCCTGTGCTGCTGGGGCCTGTGCTGCTGGGGCCCTGCAGAGAGGCCTGCCGGCCTGCCACGGGTGATCCCACCCATCCAGGCCGAGCAGGATCTGAACCCAAGGCTCTGCCTGGAACACGGGACACGATCTCTTACTGTAGCAGAGAGGTGCAGTCCGCTGACTGATGTGCCTGCCGTCACCTGGCTCCTTGTTTTTTGTTTTTTTTTTTTTAATTTTTTTTTTTTCAACGTTTATTTATTTTTGGGACAGAGAGAGACAGAGCATGAACGGGGGAGGGGCAGAGAGAGAGAGAGACACAGAATCGGAAACAGGCTCCAGGCTCCGAGCCATCAGCCCAGAGCCTGACGCGGGGCTCGAACTCACGGACTGCGAGATCGTGACCTGGCTGAAGTCGGACGCTCAACCGACTGCGCCACCCAGGTGCCCCATCTGGCTCCTTGTTAAAAGACTCCAGCTGCACAGCTCTGGGTGGGGCCCTGCACTTCTAGAAGCCCCGAGGCGAGGCTGGTGTGCTGGGAGCAGCAACGAGTTAGATGGCGTCACACTCTCCTGCTTAGTGTCGCAAGCCACGCGGGGACTCCTGAAGCAAGGCCAGCTTCTGTGCCTCAGACCGGCTTGTGCCCCCCGAGCCCTGCCAGCAACCTGCACTTCGGCTCCGAGTCAGGAAGGCTCCTGTGAGCCTGTGCAGGTGTGAGGGCCTGGCCTTGCGCCAGGTCCCTGCTGAAGGTGGCGTCAGGTGTCGGGGTTGGGGGTTGGGTGGGGAGGGTTGTCCTTAAGCTCTCAGGGTGCCGGGGACAAGGGCCGGATGAGGTGGCAGTGAGGCTACAGGGGCTGGCTGAGGCACTCACGTGATCTCACGGTGACCAATTTGCCAGGTGAGCCACTAAACTTGGCACTCACTCGCCCTCTGCCGTCCACAAGCTCCGAGAACCTGCCAAGGGAGTCACCATGCGTCACCACTGTGGGGCTTGTGGCTGGGGCCGCGCGCTCCGGGTGGGGGCGGCTGAGGCTGCACCTGGGGGCCGGGGTCTGAGCTTCAGGGGCGTCACGGTCACTGAGCAGGTGCTCCGGCAGGCGCACGGGGGGCGGTCTGTTTCTGAGCACCCGTGGGTGGAGTCCCTCCCTGTGCCAGCGTCTGTCAGCGCCGTCCCTTGGGGCTGCAGGTGGGTGGGAGGAGCGGGTGGCTGCACAAGGCCTGACCCTCCCGGCCTCTCGGAGGGTCGGAGGGGGAGGACTGAAGAGGGGCATGTGCATGCCCGAGATCTCGCGGCAGGCTCACGGCTCTCCGAGAAGCCCTGGGCCCTGTCCGTGCCCACCCCCGCCTCCGCCCGCTTCCCATCCCAGGGCTCGCGGGACAAGCTGTCCTGGCCCACCTTGGGCCCAGGCTCCCGCTCTGCAGGGCACGGCCAGCCACTCAGACCTGACGGGACACCTCAGCGAGGCCCCCGCCCTGCACGCGCCCAGAGCGGGAGGACCAGGCGCCTCCGTGGGTCCTTGTCGCCTGACTGTGCCCTTCAGCCCTCCCTTGGGCAGGTGCGTGCGGCCGTGCTGGGTCTGAACCTCTCGGAGCAAGCGTCCGCCTCCTGCGTGGTGCCCGCGTGTCTGCTCTCTGGGGCTCTGTTCTGCCTCAGCCACCGTCCACCCCACTGTTCTTTCTTCTCCCTTTGTTACCCTCACTGTAGCACCTGTCCGGATGTACCGTCTTCCTACAGCTTGAGAACGTGAGCAGGGTTGTGAGGGACCTGGGTGACCCCGCGGGCCACGTCCTCCGTGTGGCCTCTCTGAGACCCTGCGTTCCTGAGCTCTTCCCACCGTCCATCTGCCTGGGCCTCCCCCAGGCTCCCCTTCCTGTGGCCATCCCGGGCCTCTCTCTCTCTCCCATGCTTCTGTCCGTCGGCTCCTCGTGGGTGAGGCCTGGCTGCACGGCCACGCCCCGGGGACAAGGTGAGGAGCAAGATGCTTGTGTCTCCAAACTCCTAGTGTACTGACCTTGTGCCAGCTGCACGCAAGTCCTTCCTCCCCCACCGATTTTCACACCCCCGATTGTCCTGCGTTAACACGGTCCTGTTTTGAGGTTGTCTGTGTGATGTCCGTGGGTCAGTTGTGGTCCGTGCTGGGAGAGGGCCCTGGGGCTGAGCTGTCTCCTGGGCCAGGACACCACTCCCCAGGGATGGCAGCCCAGGCCGCCGCCCTGCTGGTGGCCCACAGGGAGCACCAGGGGCCAGGCTGCACTCACCATGGCCCCATGGGTCCTGAGCAGACCACGGGGCCTTGTGTGTGTGGCCGTCCCCTCCCCCCAGCCCTGGTAGGGCTGCACTCACAGGTGATGATGTAGAGGTGAGCAGGCTCGCTGTGCAGTCGGTCGCCCTCTGCGCTCTGCACGGCTGTCACCGAGAGCTGGTACCGCCGCCCTGGCAGCAGGTCCCTCACCGTGTAGGACGTCAGCCTTCCGTTGGGAACGTAGCGGCTTTTGGTGCTCTGGCTGGTGGTCACGTTGATGACGTATGCCTCCAGCAAGGTACTTGGAGCAGGGGTGTCCCAGACCACGTAGGCAGAGGTGGCCGTGACTCTGGCAGCGGTCAGGTTTGCTGGTGGCAGGGGCCCTGATAGGCGCAGAGCGGGGGAGGGAGGTGACAGGGGCCGGCGGGGTCTCCTGCCACCGCCACGTTTACAGATCTGACGTGGATTGCCAAAGCCTCGTGCGAAGCCAAGTCTGGTCATTACGGACAACCTTATGGTCCTGAAGGATGGTGTGGAGGGGTGTCTGTAGCAGCACGTCCTCCTGCCCGAGATGCACCCCAGAATGCTGCCCGGTGCACCCACGGAGGCCCCCATGCCTGTGCAGCCTGTCAGCGTGTCCTCCTTTTGATCCCCTAAGCCTGGCCATATGCACCTTCTCCTGGGACACATAAGAGGGGCTGGGCTAGACAGGCAGGGAATGGGCCAGGGTCCCAGCCTCAGGGTCAGTGCCAGGACTTGAGCCTGTGATCACCCTTGCCCCACGGGCCATCCATATGCCTCCCCGCTGGGCAAGGCCCCGCCCAGACCTTCCGTCCTCACCACGCATCCCCCGTGTTCACTGGTCCCCTTGTGCGTGGACCGCACGGCACTCTAGCCCCCTCCCACACGTTGGGCTGGGAGGGCTGGTGAGGGCCAGGTCTCCTGCCCATGAGACACCATGGAGATCAGTAGTGGACAGCGTGTGCATTCACCGGTGTGCCCCTCTGGCCTTTGGCTTGTGACTCCCATCCGGTAGGAGCCCAGGAGCATCCGGGTGCCGGGTGAATGCGCAAGCGGGGGGCTTCCTGGGAAGGCCGCCTTCCCTGGCACTGGAGGGGAAGAGACCTCTGGGGCACCAGGGCCACTTTGGTAGGACTGGGGCCGGAGGGAGGTGATGGCTGGCAAAGTTCCCTTAAGAGCTGAGCTCATGCCACTGTACTCACGCGTCCACACGTGCAGCGGGGCCGAGGCCAGACTCTCGGTGGGAGGCTCCTGTCCCCCGAGCCCACTGAGGGCAGTCACGTGGATGGTGTATCTCCTTCCTGGCAGCAGGGCCCTGCGGGAGGGGAGGGGAGGAGGAGAGACTCCATTACAGACTGTGACTCCTCCCACACAGGTGGGGGAAGAGGTGTGAGTGGTCCTGCAGGTGGCCGGGGTGGGGGGGGGGGCCTCCACAAGGACCAGATTCGTGGGCTGAGACCTGTGTGCTCCTCAGGTGGGAGCTCCTCCCTGGTCTGTCTGTCTAGAACAGGGCAAGGGTCGAGAAGAGCCCACGCCTGCCTGCGTCGGCTGTAGTGCCCAGGCTGGTGTTCAGACAGGAGAGGCCAGAAAAGGGAGGGCCCTTGGAGGTCATTGTGCAGAAAGGGTTGGCCAGCAGGCCCCACTGCCCTCCTCAGGAACGCCCGCCCGCCAGGTGGCCCGCGGCTGGAACTCATGGATCAGAGGACCTCGCTGCCCCCTGACGTCTGTGCGGTCTGTGCGGCGTGGTTCGAGCTGAGCACCCGCTTCCTCCCGGGCATCCGGAATCTAGGCCAGGCCCAGGGGGCCCCGTGCCCAGCCCCCGATTAAAACCCCGGGCGCTGCGTCTCTCACAGGCACCTGGTGGTGGCCTGTGTGAGTGCACAGGGAGGGCGCCCGGGAGCTCAGGCCTGCTCCCCTGACTTCTCCCTTCCTGCGCGCCCTACCATTTCTGTGTTGTGAATCCCAGCCGGGAGCGCGGCCTGTGCTGAGTCTCAGGGGGGCCCCCAGTGACTCACCGAGCTGGGTGGTCTTGGGGACCCTGACTCACCAAGTGCCCACCCGGGGCCCCACGTGTGTTTTTGTGACACTGTTCTTCGGAAGTGGGCAGGATGTACATCAAGAAAGGTCACAGCAACACTTAAGAGACAAAGAGAGCAGAGTCTTGTCTCCAGCACAGCAGGCATGGAAAATACGGCGTTGGAAAGTCCGCCAACTAGAAGCAACACAGCTCGGTGGTGCAGAGGGGACTGAGCGCTGTGCCCGGCTCTCCTGCCCCGACCCCTGCAGCGCCTGCCTTCCGGACAGCCCTCCCCATGGCCGTGGCCTGTGGCTGCTCTGGGCAGGATGCTGCTGATCTGGCGACGTGGCCCGCTGCTGTCGGGTGTGGGCAGTTAGGTGGGCCTGTCCTCTACCAGAGCTGTGTGCACGCTGCAGGCACAGGGACCCCAGGCCGCGGCCAGCTAGTCTTCCTTCCCACACTCCTGTCTTCCAGCACCATCCCCAGCAGGTCTCGGAAGCCCCTCTGGCTGGTGAAGGCCCACGGGGCCGCTGGGGGCTGAGGCCGTGGAGTGTGAGCCTTCGCTGCGGGCTGTCCGAGCACACTTCAGTCCTCAGCCGCTCGGAGCTAGTTTGTAATTCCGTTTGCATCTGATTTGTAATCATTCAGCATAAGATGGTTCTGTGCCCAGTTTAAGGTTTGACCATATTATTTAAACAGCATAAAAATGTAAAGCAGCTGCAGGGGTGCCCTGCGTCTCCCTTTCAGGGGAGGGGCCTGTGTGACTCAGGCCGTGCTGCCCTCCAGGAGGCCCAGTCTCCCTCCTTATCTGTGCAGGAGGCAGCACCTCCCAGAGTTTTTGAGAGTCTCTGCAGCCCCGTGATGAGGCAGGGCGGGCAGGTGCCTGGGGGACCCGGGGCGGGGGGAGCGCGCACACACACATCCCTGCTTCTCACGGCAGGCTGGGCAGCTGGGGAATGGCAGGGTAAGGACACAGAGGGAGAGAGGAGGAAGCTCTGGGGCCCGGAGGGAAGGGAAGGCCGGCCCTGTGCTCTCACCCGAACGTGAACTTGTCCACGCTCTTGTCCATATCGGTGGACTGGTCCTCCTGGGCCTCAGGATGCCGGATGGACACACGAACGCCGCTGACCGTTGCGTGACGGATCCTGTGCAGAGCCCACCGCACTGAGATGGTGCTGGCTGTCACGTTGGTGACCTCAAGGCCCTCAACGGGGCGGGGTCCTGGGGGGCAATGGGCCCCTCAGCTGATGCTGGCACCTCCTCGTCTCCAGGGGAGGGCAGGGGCTTGAGACAATGAGACAAGGCTCAGGAAGTGTGCTGGGGGTCACAGAGGTGGCCCAAGTGAGGTGCGGGCCCACCTGGGCTTGCTGAGTGCACCCCTTGGCCACAGTGGGACTAGGGGAAGTCAGGCCCCGGACTCCAGCCTGGGGTGGGTGGTGCAGTCAGCTCCACCGGAGGCCCGCAGTCTTGCCTATTTAGACATGTTTGGACGTGCACGGACCCTGGGAATCCCCTTCCCCTGTGTCTGTCTGATTTGGTCACACTGACAGTGAACGTTTGGGTGACGCTTGGGCCAGCGGGCATAGAAGCCGGGAAAGCTCTGGGCTGCCGCAGGGAAGGGTCTGGGTTCAGCACGGGAGCTGGGAGGGGAGCCCTTGGCTCCCTGGGCAGGTGCGGTGCCCGGTCTGGCGGGCAGTGCTGGCTCTGCCCACCGTGATCTCCTGGGGAGACCCCACTCTGATGGGGGAGGGGGAGGGGTGCCACTTCTTCCTGAAGCCAAGCTCAGGCTGAGCCCACTCCACCCCGCAAGCTCGCTCGGCCTACCTGCTGCCCAAGTTCGCTGTAGGTGCCTCTTGGCTGTGCTTTCCCATGACACACCTGTCCTGAGTTTCTTATCTCCTCTCTCACTTGGCCCTCAATGTCCTCAGGGTTAGTGTCTGGCTCGGGCTGGCAGGTGATGTTAGGGCACCCTCCCTTCTCCCGCTAAGTTCCTCTCCATGCCTCTGAGCGTCCTCACCTCCCTCCTTACCCAGCCCGAGTCCCCACCGGTGGGCCATGGCTGTCTGGCCTCACGGCGCTCCTGTGGCTGGCCCCGCCTGCCTGCTTTGACCTGTGCCAGCACCTGGTGTGGCGGGCACGGAGCCCCTTGTGTGCTGGCCACACTCTGAACCCCTACTGGCTGCCCTCACGGCCCCTCAGTGCTGCCCAAGGGACCATTGCCTGATCCATACTCCTCCCTCCAGCCTCCAGCACCCCCTTCCAAAGTCCCCAGGGTCCCCTGGCCCCTGCCCACCATTGGCTCCTCCCCCGTAGAGCCCAGAAACAGGCAAGCCAGTTAAGGCCCCGAGGTCTCCCTCGGCTAGGTTTCCAGCTACTCTGCAACAGCACTAGAGGCACCCTCTCTGCCCCACCCCCCTTCTCTAGACCTGCCACCAGCAGGCTCCCTCCCCGGCCCCTCCGAGCTGCCGTCTCCCCCCTCAGCATGTTGGGGTGGCCTCCTGGACGCCCCAACATGCGCTGGCTCGTCACAGGTGCCTTCTCAGGGAGACCCCCACTTCTCCCCTAGCCTCACTCCTAAGCCACCGGCTCTTATCTCTGTTAGCCACTGCCCAGGGAACAGGTTAAGGGTCCCCGTGGTGCCTCGGGGTGCCTGGCCAGTGTGCCTCTCCGGATGGCAGCAGGCACGTCCAGGCGGGCACTCACGTGTGCGGGTGAGGAGCAGCACCGGCCTGCTGATGTCATTCTTGTTGTTGGCGTTGCGCTTGACGGAGAACACGGAGATGTTGTAGGCTCTGCCGGCTGCCAGGGCCCGGAGCTGGTGCGAGGAGCGGCTCCGGTCCACGAAATCTGTGCGGCGGTAGGCACCGTCCGAGGAGGCGTAGGTGACCGCGTAGCCGTCAAGCATCTGCCTGGCGGCCTGACCTTCAGGCGGACGCCAGGAGATGGACACCCCACTCTCCTCCACTCGCTCCACCTTGAGGGCCGTCGGCGGGAAGAGCTCTTCAGGGTTTCGGTGGAGAACAAGGGAAGGGGGTGGTCAGCTGTCGGCCACGGAAGCCCTGGCCCCCAGTCAGATATCTCACCTGGTGGCTCTTGGGCCTGCTACCCTGGGGGGTGGAGGTGGGGCAGCTGCCGGGGGTGGGGAGCCAGCTCCTGTCGCCTGCGATGGACCTCTTCTCTCAGCCTCTGGCCAGTGCCTCCCAGGTCTCAGGTGTGTGCGCACCTGCGACTGCATTTATGCCTCCCGGAGTATTTTTATAACCCTCCCTGCTTCTCGGGCAGAGCCTGGGTGAGCAGCTGCCTAGACTCTCTGCTCTGGGGGGCCGCTCAGCACTGTGGCCTGTCCCCGGGGGCGCCTGTGCCCTCTGAGGGGTGAGGGAGGCCCCGCCCCCCACACTGGTGCCTCTGCCACCTCACCTTTGGCGCAATCCTTGCCCGTGTAGCCCACTTTGCAGGTGCAGCTGTGGGACCCGTTGCTGGCCAGGCAGTAGCCGCGGCCCCCACAGGGGCTGGAGAAGCAGGGGTCGCTCACTGGGAGAGGGGAAAGTATCGGTGAACACTGGGGTTTTAGCAGCTCCGCCAGCGGGACCCTTGTCCTTCCTGTGTGGGTGTGTTTGTGGGGTGGAGGTGGCTGGTACCATCACAGGCAGGGATTTAGGAAGTGAAGGAGGGGACATTGTCTGATGGGGATTGCAGGGCTTGCTGGAGGTCCCACTGAGGGGCTGGGCAAGTGTGTCTTTCCTCCTGAGCCGGGCTGTCCCACTGCTGCTCCAAGCCAAGGTGGGCTGGCAGGCGGTGACTCGGGGGTGAGCACGGTGCTGGCCCCTCCTGGGGGGGCAGCTGGCGGCCGGGCATCCAAGGGCCCCAGCCCTCTGCAGCCTCCCTCTGCGCCAGGGCTGCGGGCACCGAGCGGACCTGGGCTTCCCAGGCCAGGGCCAGGGGTCAGCAGGTTCCCAGTGGAGCCTCAGGAAACAATGGCAAACAACCAACGTGTCCCCTTATCACCGTCACAGCCACTAACCTTGCTCTTTCAGGTGTGCCCGCGCCCACCCCAACCCCGCGCGGTGAGATCCCCTGGCCGCAAACGGTCCCGCCATGCTTCCGTCCGGGCCCCCTCCCCACCGCCGCCCTGCAGTGCGTGGATGGCACACCTCATCCCCAGCACAGCCCTCGCTGCCCTGCAGCGTGCACCCTACACAGTGCGGTGCCGCCGGCCGGGCCTGGCTTGGGCCCTAGAACAGGATAGGCCAGGATGTGCCCCCACGACACACCCATCCCAGGAGGAGAGCTGAGGTCAGCAAGTTGGGGTTATATCGCAGAGGCGGCTCCAGACAGTGGCAAGTCCTAAGAAGGGGGAAAAGGTGGGGAGCGTCTCCAGCCGTAAGGAGCCGTGAGGACCCTGGGGCTGTGGTGAGCTCCGCCCGTCCAGGCTGGACAAGGGGCCAGCCCGAGTCTCCCCGGGGGGAGCTGGGGCCGCTGGAGAGGGAGCAGGGACTTGCCCCCACCTCCCTACCTGTCTCGCAGTGGTAGCCGAAGAAGCCCTCTGGGCAGACGCACAGGTAGGCCCCGCCACCGTTCTCACACCGGCCTCCGTGCTGGCAGGGGCTGGAGTCGCAGGCATCCACCTCTGGAGAATACCCAGAGAGTCGGCCAGAGCCGCAAGGGGGTGTCTGGGGGAGGGAGGAGAGGACAGCGGGAAGAAGGGAAGGGGAACCGAGGAGAGATGCCAGGTGGGGGGGGGGCTGGGCAAACCCCCCTCAGCCCTGGGGTCCCTCCCACCAGGGGGCCTGTCCAGCTGGGCCATGGGCCCCAGCCCTTTCCCTCTGCCCTCTCAGCGGTCCAGGGTCTAGGCTTGTTGAAAACAGGTTTGCCCGGGGTGTCCGGGGCATCGCGATCGTGGGTGAGGGCCCAGCCGCTCAGGGGACCCCACCCAAGCGCAGCCCCTACCTGTCTCGCAGTGGACTCCAGTGAAGCCTGCGGGGCACTGGCAGACAAAGGCCCCCGGGAGGTCCCTGCAGGAGCCTCCGTTTCTGCAAGGCTGCATTTGGCACTCATCTGTCTCTGCAGAGACAGGGGCACTTGTCTGTCTCTGCAGAGACAGGATAGGAGGCTGCGTGGCCCTACACGGGCCCTGCACGGGATGACACAGCCCTGCCTGGGCTCTACACGGGCCTCCACCACACCCAGGGTTCCACGTGTGCCCTGCGGCTTCAGCCTGACACCCACCCTCTCCGCTGTCTGCCCAGCAAAGGCTCACCCCCAGGTCACTCCAGCATTTCCCTTCCAGGCTTCTCAGGGGCCCGGAGGCATCCTGGGCCTGGCCCTCCCTGGGGCGGTGTCAGAGTCCTACCTAGGTGTGGAGGGCACAGGGCTCGTCCGTCAGTGTACCCCAAAGGCCTCTCCCCTCCCTCTGCTGGCTTGGAGCACAGGACCAGGGGTGGTCAGGATGTGACTCTCTCCACCCCACCTCCTCCACCCCTGAGGCGGAGGCTGCAGAAGGAGGGGCTGCGAGAGGAGGTCAAGGTCAGCTTGTTCAGCTGCGCTGTCCGTCTCCCTGGGGAGGTGGAGGCAGAGATGTTTGTAAACCTCTGTCTTTCTAGAAGTCGGAGAGGCAGGGGTCCGAGGGCAGGCAGTGGTGGGCCCGGCAGCCTGGGCAGGAGGGGCTGGAGCTGTGTCCCGCAGTCTTACTCAGCTCACAGTGGGCTCCTTTGCGCCCTGTGCTGCAGACGCACAGGTACCTGGCAGGAGCCCCCGTGCAGCTCTACCAGCTTCCGAGGGAGGGGCGCCCAGGTGCACGGGCACCAGGAGAGACCCCAAGAATAAAGCAGTGTTGTGATTGGAGGCAGTGGCTTGAAGCCGAATAAGATGGACATAAATCAGCTTTGTTCGAGGAGACAGACGGAAGTCTCCAGCACCTCTCAGTGCCTGGAGAGGCCAGAAACCAGGCGGGGGGGGGGGGCCACACCCTGGAGAGGAAGCAGCGGCAGCAGGCCCCGGGGACAGCAGGCGCGCATGATGACCCGAGGGCTCGCAGAGGTGGTGTGGGACTTCACCCCAGTGACTCTCGGGTGGCCAGGCCCAATCTTGTTCGTTCGATACACAGCAATCCCATATGAAACCGGCGCAATGGGGACGGGGCCCTCCCTTTGAAGTATTTGCCACAGGCTCACTTTTTCTTTTAAACTGGGAAGTGTACTTCCGAATTCAAAATTTTCAACTTCTTAAAGTTTACTGTTCCTGCTCAAAATGCAGATGAGTAAGTAATGACGCCTGGGAGCTACAAAGTCCACCGGCTCACCGGCACGTGCCCCTCCCCACCCCCGGGGATGGAATTTTCAGGGCCACGATCTCGATCTCGTTACCCCTTCCGTGTTTCGATTTTTATGAATCACCTAAACATGTATGGTTTGTTTGTGCTACATATGAACTTTCCTGATAAGATACTGGGGTATAGGGACTCTTCTGTTGGAAGGCGTGAGGGGCCTCCGCATCTCCGGGGTCTCTGCTTTCTGCTGCGTGAACGTGGGGGCGGCGGTGGGATCCGTGGTGTGACCACACCATACTTTGTCCGGTGTCGTTTGCTGGGCCTTTGGGTTGGTTGTGGACTTTTTGTTATGATAGAAACCTGCTTCTGTTTTTTTTTTTTCCCTTTCCTAGCTCCTGGTATAAGTGTGCTAAGCCTACAGGTGGAATCACGGGCACACAGCTTATACGCATGGTCAGCTGGACAGGCAGACTGTTAGACCCTTTTCAAAGTGTTCCCCCGACTTACACTCCCTCCAGCCGTTGCTAGGAAATCCTGCCCATCCACGTTTTCACCAGCAGATGGCTTCTTAGGTTTGTCAACTGCCTCCGTGAGCTTTTGATGTGCAGCTCACTGATTACTAATATTTCTCCTTGTTTTTGTTGGCTTTCAGTATCTCCTCGTCCATGAAGGGCTTACTCGGGTGTTTTGCCAGTTTTCCTATTGGGTTGATCATTCTTTTCTTATTCATTCACAGAGTTCTTTATATATTCTTGAAACCAGTTTTATATAAATACATCTTTTCCCGCTTTGTCGCTTATATTTCACTTTCTTCCTTAGGGCTGATGATTTTAAATTCATATTTATATAGTCAAATTTGTCCATTTTTTTCTTTGATAGTGCTTTTTTTCAATGTTTATTTTTGAAAGAGAGAGAGACAGAGCATGAGTGGGGGAGGGGCAGAGAGCAAGAGAGAGAGAGAGAGAGAGAGAGAGAGAGAGAGACAGAATCTGAAGCAGGCTTCAGGCTCCGAGCTGTCAGTACAGAGCCCGATGCGGGGCTCGAACTCACAGACCTCAAGATCATGACCTGAGTCAAAGTCAGACGCTCAACTGACTGAGCCACCCAGGTGCCCCTTTGATAGTGCTTTTTTGTGGCTTAAGAAAACTTTCCTAATCCCAAGGCCAAAAGATACCTATACTTTCCACATAAAATTTTATAGTTTTAGAAAAACATTTAAGTCCTTAATCTGGAATCTTGTGTGTGGTGAAAAGCAGGGGACAATGTAATATTTTTCCAAATGCATAACCATTTTACTCCAGCTGTCAAGAAGACTGTCTCCAATGCTCTTTTAGAAGTTTATAGTTTTAGCTTTTACATTTATGTCTACAATTCATTTCACACATGTAAAAATGTATCATGTTTTTGGTGCTGTTACACACAATATTGTTCATTTTATTTTATTTGCCAAGTGTTCACTGCCAGAATATGAAAATATCAAGGTTCTGTAATGTCGTCCTGTGTCCTGTGACCCACTTGAATTTGCTTATTTGTTCTATAGCTTCTTTTGTAGAATTTCTTGGGATTTCCTATGTGCATGATCATGTCCCCTTCCTTTCCAGTAGACGTGACTTTTATTTCCTTTCCTTGGCTGTGGCACCGTCTGGGAACTCCTGGGCAATGCTGGAAGGAATTGGTGAGACGGACACAGTTGCCTTGTTACTGATGGCAGCCAGATGTCTCCCACCGTGAAGTCCTTTGTTAGCAGTTGGTGTTTCATGGATGCCCTCATCAGGTTCAAGATCTTCCCTTCCACTCTTAGCTTAGTAAGAGTCTTAAACAGTAGTTGAATATTTTGAAATGATTTTTCTGCTTCTATCGAAATGACTATATGGTTTTCTTCTTCCTATCCTAATATGGTGAATTACATTTTTCAAGTATTAAGCCAACCTGTGTTCTTGAGATAACTCCCACTTGGTCATGATATATCATACTTTTTATGTAACACTGGGTTTGATTTAGTAATACTTTGTTAAGATATTTATGCTCATGTTGGTAAGGAATGTTAGTCTCTGATTTCATTTTTTAAAATAGCCTTTCTGTCTGCTTTTGTATCAAGGCAATACTGGTCTCACAAAATGAATCGAGAAGTACTCTTTCTCCTGTATTTTCTAAAAAAGCTTGTGTAGGGTTAGTATTATTCTTTCCTTCAGTGTTTGTTAGAATTCATCTATGAAGCAATCCAGTCTTGCCATTTCCTTGCAGAAAGGTTTTTAACTGTGAATTAAATTTCTTTAGTAGATACAGAGCTATTCGTATTTTTTATTTATTTTTCTGTCATTTCTAGTAATTTGTGTCTTTCAAGGTAGTCCCTTTTCTTTCCCTTGCCAGATACATTGGCCTACTGTCGTTCACAATATCTCTTTGTTGTCCTTTAAATGCTGGTAGGATCCTAAGTGATGACACTTCTTTAATTCTGATATTGCTAATTTTTCGTTTTTATTTCTTGATCAGTATAGCTAGAGGTTTGTCAATTTTATCAAGCCTTTCAGGGAGCCACCTTTCAGTTTCATTGGTTTTCTCTGCGTAGGTTTTTTTATAATTACATTTTCGATTGTTGAGATATTAAAATGTAATTGTGTTAGAATAATCTATATCCACTAAACATACTACATTTCCTGTCATTTTCAGTGGTTTGCTTGCAGGTTAAAGACAACCTTATCAGCTACAAATACTGACATTTTACCTCCCTATTTAGTATTCTCATGACTTTAGTTTCTTTTTCTTTATTGCATTGGCTAATACTTGAAATATAATTTTGATGAGGCTTAGTGACAGTGGGCATCCTTGTCCCCAGTTTTAAGAGGAATGTCTATTTAGGATAATGTTTACTTGGGGTTTGAGGAGAAGCATAGTAAAACTGCTTCAGAAGCTAATTTCCTTCCCCCTGTTGGCCGCTCAGTGTGTTTGAGTCAGATCAACAGAAGCACAGCTTTTGAATTCCAGATCCTACCTCTGTATAACAAGGGTCAGGACACTCATTGTTCCACAGCTCTCTCGATGTAACCTGTAGTCCTTCCTCTGTAAAGGTGTGAAGTCTTATAGCTTGGCTACACACAGTATGACCAGTCTGGCTGTGCCCAGCCTAAGCACACCTCTCTGTGGGATGATGCACACTTTGGGGGTTATGTGGATTCTGCTCCTTTTCTCTTTTAAGCTTTTCCTCCAGTAAATCCTATATATTTTATACCACATGGCACTGCAGGGGTGTGTGTGTGTGTGTGTGTGTGTGTGTGTGTGTGTGTGTGTGTATGTGTGTGTGTATTATTTTTATCTGGTAAGGAAGTACATTTTTATTCCTTATTTGGTAAAAATTTATTTCATGAATGGGTATAAATTTTGCCAAATGTTTATTATGCACTTATTTAGATACTTACATGCTTTTTCTCCTTCAGTTGGTTAATAGAGCAGGTTTTCCTAATATCGAACTATTCATGGCAACAACCCAGCTTGATAATGGTATGTATAGTCTTCATAGACCATCGAGTTTCTGCATCTATGTCCGTATGTTTAACAGACTCATGGCTTACTTTTTCCCACTGTCCATATCTGGTGTTGGCAACAAGATTATACTGGCCTCATAGAATAGGTTGGCACATACGCTTTATATTCTACTCTCCAGAGAGCCTATATAATGATGCAATGATCTATTGGTTGGCAATTTGGTGGAATTTACCTATAACATTGTTTGGTTCTGGAGTTTCTTTGTGGGAAGATGCTTTAACTGCTGCTTCAATACCTTTAGACCTTTCTACATTTCCTTGAGTCCTTTTTGGTAAGTTATATTTTTCTATGACTATGTCCATTTCTGCTAAGGTTTCAAATTTATTTGTATAGACTGGTTGATAGCATTCTCATTATCTTTTTAATCTCTGTTATATCTGTGGCTATGTAACTTTTTTCATTTATAAGGATTTTTATGTGTGCTCTTTGTTTTTCTTGATCAGTTGATCGAAGTTTGTCCATTTTCATAGGCTTTTCAAAGAACTGATTTTGGTGTTCTCTGTACTTTTGACTTATGTTTCGTTAATTATGGCTCTTGTGTTACCTTTTTCTTTCTACTTTATTTGTATCATTTGTTGTCTTTTTCCTAACTTCTAAACTCAGACATTTAATTCATTAATTTTTGAACTTTTCTTATTGTGGATTTAAAGCTGTAAATTTCTAGGGGTGCCTGGCTGGCTCAGTCAGTAGAGTGTGTACCTCTTGATCTTGGGGTTGTGGGTTTGAGCCCCCACACTGGGTGTAGGGATTACTTAAAAATAAAATCTTAAAAAAAATAAAGCTGTACATTTCCCCCAAAGCACTGCTTTTGCTACATCACACGTTTCTCTATAGAAAATGATCGTTAATATGCACTTAAAATTTGTAACTGTCCATATTTCCTCTACCGATAAGTTAGTTCAAAGTATCTTTAAAAATATCTAAACATGGAGATTTAAAATTTATCTTCTTCTTCTTAATAACGTAGTATTTCCTGTGTGTTCAGGGAATGAATTAGTTCAAATTGTTAGCTGTATTATTCAGATCTTCTTTTTGCTTATTGTTTTTTTGGCTTCTTAACCCGAACTAATTGAGGAAGGTGGTTCAAAATTTCCCAGTGTTGAGGTAAATCTGTCAGTTTCTTCGTGCAGTCTGTTAATGTCTGCTTTGTATGTATTGAGACTATTGCATTAGACGCTGGAATGTTTATAACGATCTTCTTGGTGAATTGAACCAATTATTGGAGGAGACCCTCTCGTTCTTAATGATGCTTTCCGTCTTACAGTCTATTGTGGCTGATAGTAGTGTAGCTAAACCAGCTTTATTTCTGTATGTGTATTTACGTGATATTTTTTCCACTTGTACTTTTTTGTTGTTCTTCTGATTTAGGAGTGTCTCATCTATGAAAGTATAGCTTGTTTCGTTTTGTTCTGTAAAAGATCTGGCAATCTCTTACATGGCAAATTTAGCTCATTCGTATTGACTTGTATTTTTTCTATCATGATCTTAACTGTCACTTTTTTCTGCTTTTTTTTCTATCTCCTTTTAGATAGTGACAGACTTTACTATAGTATGTGATAATTCTCCCTTCTCCTATTGCTTACAGAATATTCTAGGTTTATCTTACTATTTGAATACTATCCCCCCCCACCCCCCAATACTCTTTTTTGGTCAGCCTCTGAAGCTGTTTTTGTAAGAGGATATTTTTTATTATGCCCTCACATTTGAATAATTTGACTAGATAAAAGTTTTAGGTCTTAAGTTTATTTATGTCAATATTTATCTTGTGGTATTTGCTGAGCTTCTTGGATTTGTGGGTCGACATATTTCTTCATTTTTAGAAAATACTCAGTCATTCTGTCTTCAAATATTTCTTTTGCCTCTTCTGCCCTCTCTTTCTGGGACTCCCAATTGTGTGCTTGTTTGCTCGATATTTCCAAATCAGAGATTTCTTATGCTCTGTTGTTTTTTTAAAAATTCATTTATTGGGGGCACCGTTTATTGGTGGCTCAGTCAGTTAAGCGTCTGACTTCGGCTCAGGTCATGATCGTGGGGTTCATGAGTTCGAGCCCCGCGTCGGGCTCTGTGCTGACAGCTGGAGCCTGGAGCTGCTTCAGAATCTGTGTCTCCCTCTCTCTGCCCCTCCCCTGCTCGTGCTCTTGTCTCTCTCAAAAATAAATAAGCATTAAAAAATGCTGAAAATTCATTCATGAGTAATTCATAGTTCGTTTTTTCTTCTGATCTTTAGTTTTAATCATTTTGTTGACTTGTCCTTGAGGTCCATGATTTTCTTCCGTTGTATCAATCCTATGGGTGAGCGTATCCAATCAGTCTTCACTTCAGATGTTGCACTTTTAATTTTGTTACTTTAAGAAGTTTTCTTTATTCTGCTCAAAGAGTGCTGTTCTCTCACTCTTTTGCTTCTCTTGAACGTATTTATAATGGCTTTTTTAAAGTCCTTGTCTGCTAATGCAGACGTGTGGGTCATCCGCAGGCCTGTTTCTTCTTGAGATGATACGTCATAATCTCTTGCTTCTTACACATACTGTGTACAAGACCAGAGAGCCCGAAGCAGAAAATACCTGCCCCGTACCAAGCATGGGCTTGCTCCACTCTGCGCTGGGCAGCTAGGCTGAGGAGCTGATTTCTGATATCCTCAGGAAGTGAGCTGGGCTGGGCCTGGTGCACTGTGCTCGTTAGTGTCAGTCCCCGATTGGCTTTAGATGCTTGAGGGTTGGAACAGGCCTCTCCCTCCAGCTGGACTGGAGACCTCAGCCTTGGGAGAGTATGAGATCTCTCTTTGCTTTCCAGACCAGCTCCTGGCTTCCCGTGCACTTCGTAAAAGTGCCGTGGGGGAGAATTGGCGGGTGCCGAGCACTTGCCCTGCATCTGCGACCCCTGATGCCAGCCCATCATGCTTGCTCCCGTAGTCATTATTTTAAGGATTTTTTCTGTTTGTCTCTGATAATCTTAAGTTCGGCTGTAACGTGCTAATGTTCCTCTTTTCTCCTGTTTGATGTTCCAGGCCCGTCAGGCTGTGGGGCTCACCTGTCATTCTGGAAACTGAGCTCCACAGTTGGTCAAACGTTTCCTTGCGTTTTTATTTTTCTCTCATCTTGGCCTCCCGTTGCCTCAGTGCTGGCACATCCGCTTCCACCCTCCACAGCGCCTGCATTTTCTCTCTGATCTACACACACCTCCCTGCTTCTCTGGGGGAAAACTCCTCAACTCATTAATTTCATCTGTATCCGTTTGTAAATTGTGACTTTGTAAATTGTTTCAACTATTAGGGTTCTCCAGTCTTCTTTTTTCCACTTTCTTTTGTTAAAAATGATTTATCGACCCTGTTTTTTTACGACCAGTGCCATGTTCTCTTCTGTATATCTGCCATGCCTATTTCTATGCTCGTCCACCTTCTTTCTTTTGCTCCTAAATGTTTGTTGTCTGGACTTTATTGCTGTTATTGTTGGAGAGGGGTGTTCTCCCAGACAGTAACCACCAGCCCCATGCGCTTGGAAGGATAGGAGGAAAGCATAGACACGTGGGGCTAGGCAGCCCCATCCATCGTCCAGAATTCTTCACCTGTGTGGGGTTGCACGGCATGGGCTTTGCAGGGTGCTGGGAGAGAGCGGCACTGTGTGCCGCCCCCCGCCCCCCCCCCCGCCCCATCTCTGGGTGCCGTCATGGTCCCTGAGCTACTTTGTTTAAAACTCCTTGCTTTGTTAACATCACACGGATTTTCTGATGGACAGAGTTAGGGATGCAGTGGAATACACATGCAGTTGTGTAAGTGACCCCACGCCTGCAGGAGCGTCAGGTAGACGGGGGCCGCCCCAGGCCATGCACCTGGCGCACTCTGGGAGCCTGGAGGTGACGCTGTCTGGAGCGGACCTCCTCCGACAGCTGTGGGTGTCCTGGGGGCCTTGTTCAAAGGAGGGTCTGCTTCCAGGGGGGAGGCCAGGGCCAGAGGCAGGAGATAGGCCCTGAATCCCCAATCTGCCCCTTGAGAACCCTGCCCTGGGGCCACCTCCTGGTCTGAGCTGCTTCATCTGCACAGCAGGTATATGAGTTGGACACCTCGCTCTGAGGACAGGGAGGCCCTTAGTGGACAGTCATCAGCGCCTCCACCAGGGTCGTGACCTGACTTTGCAGGGAGGAAGGGGAGGACCAGGGTCAGAACTGTGGCTCCTGTGCTCCTCTGGGTGGCCCCGATGAGGGGGTTGTGGACCTCACCGGTTGAGCCCACCCACCCGCCCACCCTGCCCCGGAGGGCCTGCGGATCACCGTGGCACTGTGGAGGTTCGCTCCAGACGCCCTGTGGCTGGCAGACTCGGACGTGGTTGGGGGAGCTCAGGCTGTAGCCGTGGTCACACTTGTACAGGGCCACCGAGCCCAGCCGAGTGCCGTTAAAACGCAGCGTGGCATGCTTCACCTCCGCTGGGGGGCCGCAGTCCACCTCTGTAAGGACACAGCGGCCCTGTCCTGCACTGAGATTCGTCTGCCGGAGGCCTCTCCGCCGGCTCTGGCCTCTGCCCCACCGGGCCTCAGGGCCTGGGACCCTTCTCCCCTCCCCTCTGCCCTCTGCCCCGCCACTCTGCCCTCTGCCCCGCTGGGCCACAGGGCCTAGGACCCTTCTCCCTGCACAGCCCTTCCAGGTGGAAGTGCCTTGACTTCCAGGGCTGGCTGCCCGTCGGATTTTCCTTCTTCCCCCTCCCCTCCTCTGCTCTTTCGGGATTAGGAAGAGATCCCGTCCCCCCACCCCAACCCCCAGCCCTCTCACCCGCCTGGCACCGGCGTCCCATGTACCCTGCTCGGCAGCGGCAGGAGAAGTCTGTGCCTAGGTCCTCACAGGTACCCCCGTTCGAGCAGGGGCTCCGGAAGCAGGGGGACGGGGCTGCAAGGACACAAGGGGTCACCATCACTGGGACCTCCCCGACGGCCTCTAGGCTCCACGGGAGCTCTGCCTCCCACTCCTCCAGAGCGGGGCCGCCCCTGCCCACTGGGAGGACATGCTGCCCCAGGTGCCCTGGCCCGCTGGCCTCTACCCGCCTTACCTATCTCGCAGTGCCGCCCGGAGAAGCCTGGGGGACAGTCGCACTTGTATTTGCCGATGTAGTGAAAGCAGGTGCCGCCATTGTGACAGGGGCCCGAGGCACATGAGTCTGGCTTCCCTGGAAACGAAGGGGCCCCATCAGAGTTGGGTGTCGGGTGTCCTGCGCCCACCGCCCAGCGCCCCTCCCCTGACCCTCCCACACCCCAGAGCTGGTGGGCCTTGGGCCCCCCCCCAGCCCTTCCAGGCTGACTCCAGCTGGCAGGAGCGCACCGATCTCGCAGTGCCTCCCGGTGAAGCGGTAGGGGCAGCTGCAGTGGTATTCGCTGCCTGCCTCCTTGCACGTGCCCCCGTTCCGGCAGGGCCCTGAGCTGCACAGGCGTGGCCGGGCTGCGTGGGGTGGGGGAGAGAGAGAGAGAGAGAGAGAGAGAGAGACACACACAGAAGTGGGTGAACAGGGGCCAGCCTCCAGCCCTGCGGCACCCATGACACCCTGCTCACCTCTTCTTGGCCTGCGGGCCCCAGGGGCCCAGAAGGCCCAGGCCCTTGGGGGCCCCCTGCCCACCCTTCCTCTCTTTCTGCCCAGGTTCTGGGGCCCACTGGGCCCTTCCTGGTGGAGATCTGGCCCCACAGTGCAGCAGACACTGCAGCCCTGCTTCCTGCACGGCAGGTGAGTGACAGCCAGCAAGGAGCCCGGTTGCAGCTGATACGACACTGGGATCCACAGCAGTCCATTTTTTTTTTAATTTCTTTTTTTTTTAAATTTAAATTTTAGTTAGTTAAGATACAGTGCAATATTGGTTTCATGAGGAGAATTCAGTGATTCATCCCTTCGTACCACATCCAGGACTCATCCCAAGTGGTCTCCTAATGCCCATCAGCCATCTAGCCCCTCCCCCCACCCTCCTCCTCCGTAACCCTCAGTCTGTTCTCTATCGTTAAGAGTCTCTTATGGTTGACTCTTAAATACAGAGAACAGACTGAGGGTGGATGGGGGTGGGGGGTGGGGGAGAGGGGAGATGGGTGATGGGCATCGAGGGGGGCACTTGTTGGGATGAGCACTGGGTGTTGTATGTAAGCGATGAACCACGGGAATCTACCCCAAAAACCAAGAGCACACTTTACACGCTGTATGCTAGCCAATTTGACAATAAATTATATTGCAAAAAAAAAGGGTCTCTTATGGTTTATTTCCCTCTTTTCTCTTCCCCCCACTTCCCCGGTGTTCATCTGTTTCTAAAATTCCACATAGGATTGAAAGCATATGATATTTGTCTTTCTCTGATTGACTTATTTTACTTAGCATAATACCATCTAGATCCATCCACATTGTTGCAAAGGGCAAGATTTCATTCTTTTTGATGGCTGGGTAATGTTCTATTGTGTATGTGTATATATATCACATGTTCTTCATCCGTTTGTCAATGGACATTTGCATTCTTTCTATAGTTTGGCTATCGGCTATTGTTGATAATGCTGCTATAAAACATTGGGGTGCATGCACCCCTTCGAATTCGTATTCATGTATCCTTTGGGTAGTGCCTAATAGTGTAATTGCTAGGTGGTAGGGTAGTTCTAGTTTTAGTTTTTTGAGGAACCTCCACATTGTTTTCCAGAGTGGCTGCACCAGTTTGCATTCCCACCAGCAGTGCAAGAGGGTTTCCCTTTCGCTGCATCCTCACCAACACCTGTTGTTTCTTGTGTTGTTAATTTTAGCCATTCTTACAGGTGTGAGGTGGTATCTCATTGTGGTTTTGATTTGTATTTCCCTGACGATGAGTGATGTTGAGCATCTTTTCACGTGTCTGTTGGCCATCCGGATGTCTTCTTTGGGAAAGTGTCTGTTCATGTCTTCTGCCCATTTCTTAACTGGGTTGTTTTTTGGGTGTTGAGTTTGAAGTTCTTTATGGATTTTGGATATTAACCCTTTATCACATATGTCATTTGTAAATATATTCCCCCATTCCATAGGCGGCCTTTTAGTTTTGTTGACTGTTTCCTTTGCTGTGCAGAAGCTTTTTGTCTTGACCAGGTTCCAACAGTTCATGTTTCCTTTTGTTTCCCTTGTCTCTGGTGATGTGCCTAGCAAGAAGTTGCTCTGGCCAAGGTCAAAGAGGTTGCTGCCTGTGTTCTCCTCTAGGATTTTGATGGTTTTCTGTCTCACATTTAGGTCTTTCATCCACTTTGAATTTATTTTTGTGTATGGTGTGAAAAAGTGGTCCAGTTTCATTCTTCTGTGTGTCACTGTCCAGTTTTCCCAACACCATTTGTTGAAGAGACTGTCTTTTTCTCATTGGATATTCTTTCCTGCTTTGTCGAAGATGAGTTGACCATACAGTTGTGGATCCATACTCTGTTCCATTGATCTATGTGTCTGTTTTTATGCCAGTACCATACTGTCTTGATGACTACAGCTTTGTAATACAGCAATTATAATGCTTCTAGTTTTGTTTTTCTTTTTCAGAATTGCTTTGCCTATTCGGCTCTTTTGGTTCCATGCAAATTTTAGGATTGTTTGTTCTAGCTCTGCAAAAAATGCCGAGGGTATTTTGACAGGGATTGCATTAAATGTGTAGATTGCTTTGGGTAGTATAGACATTTTAACAATGTTCTTCTAATCCATAAGCATGGAATACTTTCCCATTTTTTTGTGTCTTCTTCAATTCCTTTCATAAGCGTCCTATAGTTTTCAGGGTATGGATCTTTTACCTTCTTGGTTAGGTTTACTCCTATGTGTCTAATTGGTTTTGGTGCAATTATAAATAGGATCAATTTCATGATTTCTTTTTCTGCTGCTTTGCTAATTGGTGTATAGAAACACGACCAATCTCTGTCTGTCGATTTTATATCCTGCAACTTTGCTGAATTCATGTATTAGTTCTAGCAATTTTTTGATAGTCTTTCGAGTTTTCTACATAGAGTATCATGTCATCTGCAAAATAGTGAAAGTCTGATTTCTTCCTTGCTGATTTGGATGCCTTTTGTTTCTTTCTGTTGTCTGATTGCTGAGGCGAAGCTTTCCAGTACAATGTTAAATGGTAATGGTGAGACTGGACAACCCTGTCTTGTTCCTGACGGTAGGGGAAAGGCTCTCAGTTGTTCCCCACCGAGGATGATATTATCTGTGGGTCTTTTGTATGTGGCCTTTATGGTGTTTGAGGTATATTCCTTCTCTCCCTACTTTGTTGAGAGTTTTTATCAAGAATGGAGGCTATGTTTTGTCAAATGCTTTTTCTGCATCTATTGACAGGATCATAGGGTTCTTATCCTTTCTTTTATTAACGTGGTGTATCATGTTGCACCAACATGATATTTGTAGATATTGCACCAACGCTGCAGCCCAGGAATAAATCCCATTTGATCATGGTGAATAATTCTTTTAATGTACTGTTAAATTCAGTTTGCCAGTATCTTGTTGAGAATTTTTGCATCCATGGTCATCAGAAATATTGGCCTATAAGTCTCCTTTTTAGTGGAGTCTTTGGTTTTGGAATCAAGGTAATACTGGCTTCATGGAATGAGTTTGGAGGCTTTCCTTCCATTTGTATTTTTTGGAACAGTTTGTGAAGAGTAGGTATTAATTCTTCTTTAAGTGTCTGTTAGTGGGACGGCTGGGTGGGTCAGTTGGTTAAGTATCCGACTTCGGCTCAGGTCATGATCTCGTGGTTTGTGGGTTTGAGCCCGTGTCTGGCTCTGTGCTGACAGCTCAGAGCCTGGAGCCTGCTTCAGATTCTGTGTCTCCTTCTCCCTCTCAAAAATAAATACACATTAAAATAATTTAAATGTCTAGTAAAATTCCCTGGGAAGCCATCTAGCCCAGGACTTTTGTTTGTTTGGAGATTTTTTGTTTGTTTGTTTGTTTGGAGATTTTTGATTATAGATTCAATTTCTTTGCTGGTTATGGGCCTGTTCAAATATTCCATTTCTTCTTGTTTGAGTTTTAGTAGTTGTGAGTTTCTAGGAATTTGTCCATTTCTTCCAGATTGCCCAGTTTGTTGGCATATAATTTTTCATAGTATTCTCTTATAATTGTTTGTATTTCTGTGGTGTTGGTTGTAATCTCTCCCCTTTCATTCATGATTTTATCTATTTGGGTCCAGTCTGGACAGGGGTTTATTAACTTTGTTTATTCTTTCAGAGAACCAGCTCTTGGTGTCATTGATCTGTTCTGCCGTTTTGTTTGTTTCTATATTGTTTACTTCTGCTCTAATCTTTATTATTTCCCTTCTTCTGCTGGCTGTGTTCTTTATTTGCTCCTCCTTTTCTAGTTCCTCTAGGTGTAAGTTTTGCTTGTGTATTTGGAACCTTTCTCACTTCTTGAGATAGGCCTGAATCACAGGAGTCCATTTTGGTTTTTGTTTTCTGTGCCTGTTCTGGCACGGACGCACGTTCTCTGGGTCCCAACAGCTTCCCAGGGCCCCGAGGGGCTCGCATGCCCATGCCTGCGCTTGAGGCGTCCACGATTTACAGATGTGAATCGAATGGCACGTCGGTCCCTCCACCCTGAGGAATGGCACCTTCACAGGCCCCGGGAGGAGTTAGAGCCTCAGCTTCCTTCACTTTTTTGGGAAAAGTGTGCAGCAGGAAGGGGGCCTGCCCGCCGCACTCAGCCCTTCTCTCCCCACCACCCCACACCTTGCACGGCCTCACAGGCTGCATGCCCAGATTCCAGCCACCCCACCCCTGAGAGCAGCCACCCCGCATCCCCACTTTGGGGAGCCTTTGTCAAAGGCACAGGACCTCAACTGCACGTGCAGAGGGCTGAGCCCGGGGGCTTCCCTTTGGAAATTCCCTCCTCCTCCTACAGGGGTGGCCAAAGCTGTGGGGGTTCCCTGGGTCAGAGTGGCAAGGACCTGCCCTCGGGGCCCCCTTGAGAGCAGAAGAGACTTCCAGGTAAAGCCACCGAGGCCTCTGTTCGGACAGTTGAGGGCAGCAGGAGGCCTAGAGGGCTGTGTGTGGCCCAAGCACTGAGCACCGGGACAGAGGCCCCGGGCCGGCCCGGCTCTGACCAAGGGGTGCCGCTGTACAGCCCTGAGCTTGGCTTCTGCCTGCACGGAAAGGACAGTCCAGGTTGGGCACGGGCAAGGACAGCGATGCCTGCCACGTTCTTTTTCGTTTATTGTGAGGGAGAGAGAGAGGGAGAGAGAGAACGAGCAGGGGGGAGGGCCAGAGAGGATCCTAAGCAGGCTCCGTGCCGCCAGCACAGAGCCCAACATGGGGCTTGAACTCATGAACCGTGAGATCATGGCCTGAGCCGAAATCAAGAGTCCCACACTCAACCGACTGAGCCACCCAGGTGCCCCACCCACCATGTTTTTTTTTTTTTTTTTAATTTTTTTTTTTTCAACCCACCATGTTCTTATACAACTCTCATGTGTTCTTATGTGCTCTTAAGTGGTTAAATGTTGACATTTCCCAGGTTCAGTTAGACTTAATAAAGTCCTAATTAAATTAAAAAATCAAGGATTCTAAAATCCATTAAAAAAAAATGCCGAGCAGGAAATGAAGCCTATTCCGAGGAAAACCAGGGAGTGGCCAGGAGGCCACGGAGTAGAACTACGAACCAAATAAGCAACACTTGGGTGGGGAGATGGTGCTGGCATGGAACACTGAGCGTGAGTGACCAAGATGATTCAGGGTGAGCAGGGCCTCTGTGCCTTGTCCTGCCCTCCGGCCCCTCCCCCGCCCTCCTATCCCCTGCCCTCCCACCCCTCCCCTTTCCTCCTCACCCTGCCCTTCCACCCCTCCCCTGCCCTCCTATCCCTGCCCTCCCCACCTTTCTCGCAGTGCCTGCCATGGAACCCTCGGGGGCACTCGCAAGTGTAGGAGTCCTCATGGGCGTCACAGGAGCCTCCGTTGAAGCAGGGGTCCGAGTCACAGGGTGATGGCAGTGCTGGGGGGACAGAGGGTGGTCACCCTGACTTCCCAGCTGGAACCGAGGCCACTTAAAATATACAATTTGTGGGATTGTAGGGTGGGGGGTCTTAATTCTTTACACCAGCCTCTAAGGCCCTTCCCTGGAAATTCTTTTATTCTCAAATTTTCCAGAATTCATCCTACCTCTTGTATGAGCTAGGACGAGCTGTGGTACGTAGATGTTTCTATACGAGCACCACCATCGTCATCACGTGTAATTATACGTTACGTAGGTAAGCCATGACTTCTCTGTATACCAACACATACACAGGAGTAAGTATTTAATCACACATACTGAATTAGGCTCGTGTGAAGGATTTTCATAGCCGAGCCAGGGGCTCAGGGAAGAGCTCGCAAGCATCTAGACATGACTTTCCAGCTGTGAACTTCTGGCGGTGGAGGGGGTGGACGCCTGGCCCAGACTACAGAAGGTGACACGGTAGGGGGTGGCGTCACACACAGGGCCTCTGGTGGCCTGTAGGGAAGCCCCGGCCTCCGCTTGCTGTGCCCCCACTCCTCCTCCTAACACCGCCCGCCCCCCCCCCCCCCGTGCCGGTAGCCCCGCCCCCAGCTCACAGTGGCTGACGTTGTGGTCAGTGTGGCAGACACAGAGGTAGCTCCCCCCGTACTCCATGCAGTAGCCTCCGTCCGGGCACTGCGTGTTCATGTTGCAGGGCGTGGCTGTGACTTCTGCAGGGAAGGAAGAGGCCCGTGTGTTTCCCTGGGGACTTGGAGTCCTTGGGAAGGAGCAGGTGGCCAGCCCCACACCCTGGGGTGGGAGCGGGGGATCACGGGACCCCTAGTTAAGGGCCTGGGTCTATGCTGTGGGCCCAGACCCAAGCCACCACCTATCCTCCGGTTTGGGGGACTTTTAGGGGCAAGGCGGAAAGGGTGCCCCCGCCACAGCCCTGGGCACTTACCAAATTCACAGAGGAGCCCAAAGAACCCTGGGGGACACTGGCAGAGGGTGGTGTTGGCCTCTAGGCATCTGCCACCATTGCGGCACCCACAGTGCTCAGGGGTTCCTGCCGTAGACAAAGGGAGGGAAGAGCCTCCGATGCGGGAGTGCTGGAAGGCAGAGGCCTCCCCTGCACCTGCCTCCCTCCTGCGCCTGAGCCTCCCCTGCACCTGACAACACCCGTGCACCTGACTCTCTCCTAAGCCTGACCCTCCCCTGCACTTGACTCCCCCTGCTCCTGACCCTCCCCTGTGCCTGACCCGCTCCTGCGCCTGACCCCCTCCTACGCCTGACCCTCCCCTGTTCCCATGAGTGCTGCTGTGTACACACACACACACACACTCTCTCTCTCTCTCTCTCTCTCTCTCTCTCCCTCCCTCCCTCTCTCTCTTTCCCTCCCCCCACCCCCTCGTGGGTGTTTGCATGCACACTTACCTGACTCCCTGCATACACTACCACAGGAGGACCTTGCCCTGAACCACAGCCCCGGCAGCCCCAGCCCAGACTCACTCTCCCTGCAGTCGAGGCCAGTGAAGCCCTGGGGGCATTCGCACACGTAGCCCTCCTCTGCATCCACACAGGTGCCCCCGTTTTGGCAAGGGGCTGAGAGGCAGGGGTCGGGCGCTGGGCGGCTTCCTGCAAGAAAGACGGAAGTCACCAGAGGCCACACGGAGAGCACGGGGCGGGGTGGGGTGGGGTGGGGTGGGGAGTGAGGCCAAGGGCCTCCTTGCTCGGGCCCCACAGTGCTCAGGTCTCAGGTCTCAGATTTGAGTCTGAGGCTCACTTTCTGGAAACTGCTTTCTAGCTGCCTGTCACCGTCTGAGCCCCCTCTGTGGGGAGCAGAAGGGGAAGCAAGAGTAAGCGCCCCATGGCGTGCACAGCTAAGGCCAGAGGCTCTAAACAAATGTCTCCAATCACACATTTCTGTTAGTAACATGGTTGGGATTTTCCACATACAGTGTTTGTCGATTTCTAGTTTAACTACTGTAATCAGAGAACACAGTCCTTTCCAACTGACTGAACTTTATTTTTCTTTAATTTTTGTTTCAATTTTAGTTGACAAGCAGTGCAATATTTGTTTCAGGAGTAGAACCTACTGATTCATCCCTTGCATACAACACCCAGTGCTTATTCAAGTGCCCTCCTTAGTACCCATCTGCCATCTAGCCCGCTCCCCACCCATCTCCTTCCATCAGCCCTCAGTTTGTTCTCTGTCGTCAAGAGTCTGTTGTGGTTTGTTTCCCTCTCTTCTCTTCCCCCCTCTTCCTGTACATTCATCTGTTTTGTTTCTTAAATTCCAGATGAGTGAAATCACTTGGTATTTGTCTTTCTCTGATTGACTTATTTCACTCAGCGCGATACACTCTCGCTCCATCCGTGTCTTTGCAAATGGCAAAATTTCCTTCTTTTTGATGGCTGAGTAATATTCCATTGTCTACATATACCGTATCTTCTTTACCTAGTCATCAGTTGATGGACATTTGGGCTCTCTCCATAGCTTGGATATTGTTGATAGTGCCGCTGTAAACATTGGGGTACATGTGCCCCTTCCAATCAGCATTTTGTATCCTTTGGGCAAATACCTAGTAGTGCGATTGCTGGATTATGGGGTGAGATTTATTTTGTGTCCTACGGGATGGTCTGTCATAGTGAGTGCTCCATGAGCACTTGGAAAGGATGTGGGGGTTTGTAAATGTCACTTAGGTCAGGTGGTCCGATGGTGCTATTCACATCTTTGAGGTCCATACTGATTTCTGTGAATCACTGAGAGTGGCGTATTGGAGCCACCCCGGTAGTTATGGATCTATTTCTCCTTGCTTTCGCTTCCTTTGTCGTGATACGTATTCAGCGTTCACGGGTGCAAGTACATTACAGATGCTCTGCCTTTTTGATGGGTTGACACCTTTGGCATAAAAGAGCCATCTGTCTCCGGCAGTATTCCTTACTCTAGAGTTTAATCTGTTTGATATGGAGATAGCCACCCCAGCTTCTCTTGATCAGTGTTTGCCAACCTGTTGCTTTTCGTTGTTTACATGTTTGATTTCTTCATGTGGTTCAGAATTTATCTTTTAAGTAACATATGGTACAGTTGGCTTTTGCTCAATGTCGACTTTTAACACACGTACGGATCTGTGTTGCCCCCACCACAATGAGGACACTGAGCACTCCGTCATCTCAAGTGCTTCCTTGTTCTATCTTTTCAGGGTCACAGACTCCCTCCCTTCCTGAGCCCCTGGCGACTACTGATCTGTTCATCACCACAGTTTTGTCTAAGAATGAGAGAAGTGGAAGATTACGTATGAACAGTATGTGATCTTTTGAGACTGGCATCTTTCACTCAGCATCAGGCCTCCAAGATCTGTCTCAGTTGTATGATCAGCAATCATGTATTCCATGAACGGGGAAGGACATTTGGATTCCTAGGTTTTTGTGATTATAAATAGACATGCTATGAACATTTGTGTATTTTGTGTGAACATAGTTGTTATTTCTTTAGGGTTAATCGCTAGGAATGGGATTGCTGGGTCATATTATAAGTGCACGTTTAACTTTATGAAACACTGCGAGGCTGTTTCCACAGTGGCTAAACCATTTGGCATCACCACCCAACATACGCAGGAGTTCCTATAGTTCTGTGTCCTCACCAGTCAGCACTTTTTCTCGTAGCCATTCTGATAGCTTTGTGGTGGTACCTCATCGTGGCTTTAATTTGCAATTCACCAATGGCTAATGATAATGACAGATCACCACGTTTGTTCATGTGCTTCTTTGCCTTCTGGGCATCCTTTATGGTTAAATGTCTTGTTCAGGTCTTTTGCCCATTTTATGATTGGTTGGCTGTTTGGTCACAGTTGAGCATGGAGAGTTCTTTATGTGTTCCAGACACCACTCCTTTGTCAGACAGGACTTCTTGAAGCATGCAGCTTGTCTCCTCATTCTCTGGACCGTGTCTTTCACAGAGAAGTGTTTTTCATTCTGATGAAGACCACTGTTTCTGTCTTTCTCTGCTGGGATACGCTTTTGCTGTCTTACCTAAGAACCTTCATCTAACCCTAGGTCACAGAGATTTTCGTCCTATGTTTTCTTCTAGGAATATAATGGTTTCAGGTTTTCCATTCAGGTCTATGATTCATTCTGACCTAATCTTGTATAAGGTGTGAGGTTGAAGCTGAAGTTCATTTTTTGCACAAGAATGTCTAATTGTTCTGATACCGTGTGTTGAAAAGATAATCCTTTCTCCACTGAATTGCTTTCATACCTTTTAAAAAACTTGGCCATATATGTGTGGGTCTTCTTCTGGATCCTGTCTTCCATTCCAGGGATGTATGTGTCAATCCCTTTGCCAATACCACAGGGTCTTAATCACTGTAGCTTTATAGTTAAGTCTTAACACTAGGTAGTGTGATTCTTCAACATTTATTCTTTTCCAAAATTGTTTTGGCTGTCTTAATTCCTTTGTCTTTTCATATAAATTTTAGGACCAGCTTATGCATAGCTACAAAACTCTGCTGAGACTTTGGTTGGAATCATGTTAAATCTATAGATCACCTTGGGGAGGACTGACATATTTACTATGTTGAGTCTCCCAATCCACGAACATGGGATGTCCCTCCATTTCCTTAGATCTTCAGTTTCTCTCACCAGAATTTTGTGGTGTTCAGCATACAAGTCCTGTGCGTGTTTTGTCAGATTTATGCCTAAGTCTTTCAATTTGGGAGGAGCTATTATAAATGGTATTGTTTTTAACATGTTCGATCAGATTGCCCAACTTAAGGAGCTCTGGAATTCAGAAGTGGTTATGGGGTTGCTGAACCCAGATCCCCCTCTCTGCAATCTCCCCATAGTTCCCAGTGTTCTGGGGCGACCCCTGAGTCCTCTGGCAAGAAATCTGGGGCTTTTATTGACCCCATTCTGCTACTTCCATCCTGTGAGTGCGCTCTCAAGTCTGGGCCAAGTGGTGGGTGGACAGAGAAAAATAAAAGCAACGCAAGTTGCCCATCCTCGTGGAGTCATAGGACCTCCAGGTGGAGAGGAAGTTTCCTCCTGTCAGTTTGGACCCCTGAGGGATCCCGCCCCCACCCATTGCTGCTGTTGTTGGCTCTGCTTCTCGTGCCCGACTAGTGCCTACTCCTGGAGCTCTTTCTGTCCATCTGATGCTCATTTGTGGCCCGGGAGATGCTTTGAGTCCAGGCAGGGGAGGCACCAGAGGGAAAAAATGGTAAATTCACCACTGGTTCTGTGGTGCTTCGAAGCTGGGTCCTCTTCCCCAGTCCGCCTGCTATTATTTATTTTTCCGAGTCCTCAGAGAGCTACTCCACGCATTCTGTCCAGGATTTATGGCTGCATCCAGTGGGAGAAACAGGGCACAGCATGCTTACTCCATCTTACCCAAAACCAGAAACCCACTCCACTACTTTCAAATTATCTGTGTCTTTATATTTATAGTAGGTTTCTTGTAGACAGTATCTAGTCGGGTCTTGCTTTTCAATTCAGTTTTACAACATCTGCTTTTTAAGTGGTGTGTGTACCCATGTCACATGTTAACAGAACTAGCAGTATGATCAAACCTGCCATCGTGCTGGTGGTTGTGACTCGTTCCATGTATTTCTTACTCCTTTTTTTCTTCTTTCCTGCCTTCTGGATTGAGTATTTTTAGGATTCCGTTTTATTTCCACCACTGTTTTATTTATTTATTTTTTAAGTTTATTTATTTTGAGGGGGGAGAGGCAGAGAGAGAGAGGGAGAGAGAGAGAATCCCAAGGAGGGTCTGCACAGGCAGAAATGTTAAAGGAAATTGCTTAGATTAAAGAAAAATGGTACCAGATGAACATCCGGATCTACACAAATGAATGAAGGGCTCTGGAAACGCTAACTGTGTGGGTAAATGTACAAGCATACCTCGTTTTACTGGGCTTCACTGATACTGTGTTCTTTACAAATTGAAGGTTTGTAGCAACCCTGCACCAAGCAAGTCCCTGGGGCCCATTTTTCTAATCGCATTTGTTCACTTTATGTCTCTGTGCCACATTTTGGTAAGTTTGCGGTATTTCAAAATTTTAAATTGCGATTATATTTGTTATGGTGACCTGTGATCAGTGCTTATAACTCACTAAAAGCTCAGATGATGGTTACCATTTTTTAGCAAAGTAGGTTTTTTAAAAAATATTTTTAATGTTTATTTATTTTTGAGAGAGAGAGAGACAGAGCGTGAGCAAGGGAGAGACAGAGAGAGAGGGAGACAAATAATCCGAAGCAGGCTCCAGGCTCTGAGCTGTCAGCACAGAGCCCGACGTGGGGCTCGAACCCACAAACTGCGAGATCATGACCTGAGCCAAAGTCAGATGCTTAACCGACTGAACCCCCCAGGCACCCCTAGCAAAGTAGTTTTTAATCAAGGTGTGTATATTTTCTTAGATGTGATGCTGTTACACACTTAATAGACTGCAGTGTAATGTTAACATAACTTTTATAGGCACTGGGAAACCAGAAAATTCATTTGACTCCCTTTATTGCCATATCCATGTTATTATAGTGGTCTGGAACTGAACCCACGGTATCTCCAAGGTATAATTGTAAAATACTTCTCTTCTTTTTAATCTCTTCAAAGATAATTTTAACACAGAAAATAAAAGTATGTTTTGGGCTTTGTAGCATTTATAGAAATAAATGTATGACCTTAATAGCTTAAAGCAGAGTGTGCAAGCTTTTCCTGAGAAGCACCAGATACTAGTATTTTTGGCTTTAAGAGCCATGTGACCACAGATATTCAACTTGCCAGTGTAATGCAAAAGCAGCCAGCCATAGACATCCATGAATGAATGGGCGTGGCTGTGTTCCAATAAAACTTTATTTTTTAAAATGGGTGGCAGGCGGGGTGCCTACGTGGCTCAGTCGCTTAAACATCTGACTCTTGGTTTTGGCTCAGGTCATGATCTTGCGGTTCATGAGTTTGAGCCCTGTGTCGGGCTCCATGCTGACCCCGCAGAGCCCGCTTGGGATTCTCTCTCTTCCCCCGGACCTCTCTCCCCTTCTCTGCCCCTCCCCACCTCTTTCAAAATAAATAAATAAACTTAAAAAAAAAACAACCCATTTCTTATAGATCAGATACGCCGGTGCTGAATAATTCTGTTTTTGCTGTCTGACAGATCTTTACTTCACGTTTGAGAGACAGTTTTTCTGTGTATACACTGCTAGGGGGACGGCCCGCTGTCTTGAGGCTGGCACTGCTTCCGATGAGAAGTCTTTACCATTCTGGTTTCTCTTTGTCCTGTGTCTGGTCTTTTTCCTCTGGCTGCATTTCAGATTTTCTCTGTTACTTGTTCTCAGCAATTTGATTATGATGTGCTTTGTGTGATTTTCTTCATGCTTTTCTTGGATACGTGGGTTTTGATTTTCATCCATCTTAGAAAATACGTGGCTATTATTTCCTCAATCTTTTCCTGTGCCCCTGCAGCCCCTTCGTCTTCCTGGGCCCCGCGTGTGTAGACCCTAAACTGCCTGGTGTGTGTCACACGGGTCACTGAAGACTCGGCCTCGGTCGCAGTCTCTCTCCTTCCTGTGCTGCCTGTTGGGTCGTTTCTTCCAGTGCACGGATCTTCCCTTCTGCAGGGTCTAACCTGTGGTTAATATGTCCAGTGTGTTTTTAATACAGAGATTTTACGTTTTGTATCTCTAGAAGTTCTTTGTATCTTCTTCTCACTGTGTCTTTTCCCCTCCACAGCCTTGAGCATACAGAGCATGTTCACAGGAGACGATGAAACGTGCACATCTGCTAATTTCATCGTCTGTGCCGTCTGTTCCTGTTGATCCATTTTCCTTCTGGCTGTGGGTCATAGTATTCTTTTTTTTCTAATTTATTTAATTAACAATTTTTTAAATGTTTATTTATCTTTGAGAGAGAAAGACAAAGCGCGAGCAGGGGAGGGACAGTAGGAGAGAGGGGGATGCAGAATCCGAAGCAGGCTCCAGGCTCCGAGCTGTCAGCACAGAGCCCGACGTGGGGCTCGAACTCACGAACCGAGAGATCCTGACCTGAGCCGAAGTCAGAGGCTCAACCGGCTGAGCCTGTGGGTCATATATTCTTGATGCTTAGTATGCCTGGTAGTTTTTGGCTGGGCATTTTGGGGTCCTGGATTCTGTTACATTCCTTTAAGGAGTATAGGATTTGATTCTGGCATGTGGTTAAACTAGTGATTGGTTTGAGCCTTTCAGACTTTCTTTCAGTGTTTGTTAGGACAGGTCAGATTAGCCTTTACTCCAGCATCTATGTATCCACACCAGCAAGATGATCCCCACCGACGACCCTCCTCAGCGTTGGCCCTGGCTGTGAAGAGCTCTCTGCACCCTGGCTGTAGAGAAGCGGGTCATCCTGAGCCTTCTGGAGTTCCAAGGACCGTGTGACTCACACTTCTGGGGGTTCCTTCCCGGCCTGTGGACCTCACCCCACCTGGACTGTGCTGAGCAGAGTCGGGGTCCCCTCTGCTCATCCTCAGAGCTGCTTCTCACATCTCCTCCAACCTCCTGTTTAGTAGCTCCGTCCCTTGTGGAGTTCTCCCCACAGACTGCAACCACCAAACTCGAGTCCCAGTCTCCGAGACTCCGAGACTCCGGGGAACCGCTGGAGCCTGGATCCCTTGCTGCAAGGGGCCGGGCGGCTTCCTGCAGGCAGACTCGGGGCAGTCGTGGGGTGTACTGCACTTCAGTCCCTCCTCGCAGGGGAACAGTCCCAGGACGTCTGTTGTCCAGAGGCCAAAAATAGTTGTTTCGTGTATCTTGTCCGGTTTTCCAGTCGTGGACGGTGAGGGAAATTCCCTTGGCCGGAAGCAGAAGAGTGGATACTGTTTTGTAAAATTACCTCCACCTTTTGGTCACCTCCCTGTTGAATCTGATTAGGACGTGAAGGCTGGCATCTTGCAGCGTGACCGATGAGCGTACATTAGGGATGGAGGTGTCGGTTCTGTCCTTCCTCGTTATTTGCTTGTATTTGCGTTATTCTTCCCATACCGAATGTGGTTTCTTTGCGAAATCTTTTAAAATCAGTAATCTGTTTTCTGACATGAGTTTAGTTAAATACACAGATATTTAGATAATAATCTGGGCAAGGTGAGCTGGGACCCCTCACAGTGATTTTGAGCAACCAGACAGATAGGATTGCTGCCCTCCCCTCCTCCCCTCTGCGCTGCAGAGCCTCACCCTGTCCTCAGGATGTGGCCCGTCCTATGTGTGGCCGTCTGACCAGAGACTGATGGAGGGCATAGCATCCACCTACATCTTAAACTTGTGGGCAAAATGTCATTTCCTTCTTAAGTTTTTAGACTCCAAGGAAACCTGACAAGCTTGTCTTGGGCCCCCTGGGGAGCAGCTGCCCATGCCGTGCACACTGCGCTCGTTGGCACAGTGGCCGAGCAAGACCTTTGGAGGTCAGAGCAATGTCAGACGCTGACAGCCTGGATTTATTCTGTGGGTTGTAAAATCTGGTTGTTTTTTACATTGATCTACCAAGTCGTAATCAGCATTTAAAACAATGGGAAATAGAAACCAGCAAATTCATCACATGTAGTAAAGATCAGTTTTCTTTCTGACTCCCGTCGCCCATTCCCTTGCACGGTGAGCGGTCTGGAGTCGGAAAGAAGGATGTGAAAAAGCCAAGAATCTCCTGAGCTGGAGGAGGGGCCTTGAGGGTGTGGCCCTCTTTCCCTGCATGTTACAGATGGACATGGGGACTGGAGAGGACCCCGCACGGCACGTGGGCGGCAGAGTCGGGGCCACAACGGCAGCTCTGGGGACAGGCTGGCACAGGCAGGCTGGGGAGGTGACCCTCCCCACCCCAGACCGCAGTGGAGCCGATCTGGACAGTGAGGTAAAGGGGCCGGGTGCCCGCGCTGGACCGCCGTCGCTGTGGGGCCCGGGGGCTGTGGGCACGTGCCCTTACCTGTCTCGCAGCGAGGTCCCGCGAACGGCTCTGAGCACAGGCAGGTGAAATTCCCCACGAGGTCCACACACGAGCCTCCGTTCAGGCACGGGCCCGAGGCACATTCGTCCACATCTGCGGGCAGAGGAGGTGGGAGCTTGCTCGAGCCAGCCTTTGGCTCCCTGGCACCTGGTCTGGCCGGGCGGGAGCCTCTCCCTTCCCCCGGGCAGGCCACTCACCCGTCTCGCAGGCCGTGCCCGTGTAGCCGGCCTGGCACAGGCACACCGCCGAGCCGCTCTCCGCCTGGCACCGGCCGCCGTTCTCACACTCTCTGGTGTCACATGGAGACAGTGCTGCACGTGCAGAGGGGGGAAGGTGTCGGACCCCTCGCTGTGGCCGCGGGGGCGGGGGGGAGTCCCGTGGAGCCCCACTCTGCAGGCGGCTCTGGAGGGTGTTGGCTGTGGGGGGCCTGGCCCGGACGGTCCCCACCCATCGGCCTCGAGCTCGTCTGCGCCGGGGTTGTGGCAGCAGATCTGGGGTGGAAGGAGGCTGTGCGCGCTGGTGGGGGGCGCAGGGGTGACCGGGCCCAGGTTCCACCCTCCCTGTGGTTGTTCTTCTCAGTTGCCAGCACAGAGTGGGATTCTGGGGCACTGGCTGGAGGGGTTCCTCTGGGCCAGAGCCTTGAAGGGGTGCAGCGGGCAGGGAGAATGGCCCTTAGGGGAAGGGGCGAGGGGGGGGAGGAGGCATGTCTTGCCGCAGGGCTGGGCGCAGAGGCTGTCAGCCCCCACCAGGTGGGGGTGAGCCGAGGTGGCGCCTGTTCCTGGCCACCTCCACCCAGCATGCTGACCTCTCAGACTCCCTGGTGGCTGCTGGCCCCTGAGCTCTGGTGGCTGAGCCGGGGGTGGGGGGGACACTGCCTTCCCTCAGCCATGACACATGTGCTGATGACAGCGCATTCCCCAAACGACTCAGTGTGGGCGCCAAATGCATCGGGAGCACGTGGCCCTCCCGGGCCTCGTGGGGGACAGTGGGAGGAAGGAGACGGCGGTGTGGAGGGGCTCTGCTGGCTGACGGCACCAGATGACCCCCGTCTCCCGGACCCTGACTCCACCAGAGAGCAGGGCTGGGCACCCGTGGGGAGGGGAGGCTCATGGTGAACAGCACAGGTGTCCCTGTCTGGACGCTGCTGGGTGTCCCTGCTGTCGTGTGCCCTGGTGGCTGAGGTGGGTCCTGAGACCAGCGAGCGTCGGTGGGGACCTGGGACTCGTCGGTGTCACCGTCTTGGCCGTGAGGAATCTGAGGCACGGGGCCACCGGCTCCAGCCCCAGGCCCTCCGAGGGGCCTCCCTGGGCCCAGACACGTGTATGTGCACTGGAGTCACAGACCTTGAAACATTCCTTGTGGCTATAAGTCTCCCTGAAAAATGGATCTTCTTCTATAGGGGAATGGGTGTGTGGTCCAGCCCAGGAGCGTTAGGGATCACGGTGCTTTGATCTTAAGAGGCTCTTTTTCTTGGGCTCCCCTAGCAGCTTCCCACAGTGAGACTGGGGGTGGAAGTGGGGGCCCCGCTTCCGGCACCAGGTAGGCAAAGGGCCAGGGAGAAGGGACCCCAGAGAGGTGCTGGAGGAAGGGCAGGGGGTGGTGTTTGGAAGGAGGGAGGCAGGTGGGGTGCAGCAACAAGGAGGTCTCAAGAAGGACCCCAACCCTCGCCTGTGAGACCTGGGGGCCTCCCCTTCTGTTGGGGGCTGTTGGGGTTTGGGGTCCTGGGGGTACAGAGAGGAAGAGGGTGGGGAGTTGTGCCCTTCTGCACCCCACAGCTGGCCTGTCTGACCTCAGGAGGCCCCACATTCGCCCCAAGCCAGTCCAGAGCTGAGAGGCAAGTGATGGTGTGTAGCACCTGGGGCGGCCCTCGTGCAGGCCCTGTGGCCCGGCTGGAACCGGGCACCGACTGCTCCAACGTGTCATCCCTGGTGTGCGCACCAGGGCCCAGGAGGCGCTCTGGATTTGCCTCTCGAGTCTCCGCCCCTGCCCCCACGAGCCTCGGGGCTGCCCGAGTCTACCGCCGAGCCCTCCGCGGATGCCGACCCGGTGCCCCCACCGGGCTGACCACGTGTCCCTGGCCGGGCAGGACCACTCGGGGTGCCCTGCAGCCGCTGGCGTTCCTCTCACCTGTCTCACAGGTGGGCCCCCCGAAGCCGGCTGGGCATCGGCAGCTGAAGCTGTTGATGCCGTGTGTGCAGGTCCCGCCGTTCTGACATGGATGGGAAGCACATTCGTTAACATCTGAAAAACAGGGCCGGCTGGGGCCTCAGTGGACGAAGCCAGGTTGGGGAGACTCTGCCCGGATGCCCTCCCGGCCTCGCTTCAGGGGGGGTCGGCTCAGACGGGGCAGCCGTAGCCCCGCCTGCCGTGCTCTCTGTCAGGGAGCCTCTGTGTGGTCCCCCTCCATCGCCCACACTGTGGGGACAGACACCCTGACCTTGGGCTCTTGGAGCCCCTGGCTATGCTGCAGTGCAAACTCACCCAGGTGACACCGCCTCCCGGTGAAGCCTGAGAGGCAGGAGCAGCTGTAGGAGGGGTTGCCCGTGATGCAGTCGTCAATGCACTTGCCGCCGTTGAGGCAGGGACGCAGGGCCAGGCACACGGAGGCTGTGGACACAGGAGGGAGCCGAGCCGTCCCTTCCCTCCCCTGACCCAAAGGGCCCGTCTCTGCAGGATCACCGGTGGTCTGCTGGCCACCCAGCATCCACGATTCACTTCCCAGGTCTCCCAGGGTGCCCAGTGCACCTGCCGTCTGTCCTGCTGACATTTAGATTCCTACGCTGTGACTCTGGCTTTCCCTGGAGGCCAGGCTTTCCCCGAATCCTTTAAGCCCACAGCACTTCCTATCTCTTTAATGCATCAACTTGTCTGAGGAACTAACAAGGTGCAAGACCCAAGGGTGCCTAGCGACACAGGAAGGTGTGCGGGCCTGAGTGAGCCTGATGAGAAGGACGTCTGCAGGTGTGGATGAGGGGGCCCCACCCCTGTGGGAGCCAGAGGTGGTGGGCGGGGGTCCCTCGGGCCTTTCTGAGGGGATGCAGTCTGCTCCCAGGGCCGCCCCGATAGTTACGGAAACGCACGCCCAGCTGCCCTCCGGGTCTCCCCGCGTGAAACAGGAGGGCCACACTCAGGGCTGTTGAAGTCAGGGTTTCGCACATCATGGCCTCCTGGCCAGGGGGTCTCCAGCGGTCCCCGAGGGCCACCCGACCCCATGCCTGGGCCTCGCAGGACGTGCAGCCCACAGAGCTCAGCTCGGGGGGCCATACCCCTCTGGAGAAGTAGGGCCACTGAAATCTGCGATGAAGAAGCGCAGCTTGGCATGTAACTAGAGCACCCCCAGGTCTCGGATCTCCTGTTACTAGGAGGGCCCCGGGAGATCTGGCGTGGTATGAAGGAGAGCAAGCGGGGGACACTCCCGGAAGGACCTCGTGGCCCAGAACACCGTCAGAGCTAAGGGTATCTTTCGGACGGCCCCCGCCCCTCACCCGTACCCCTCCTCCGTTCACTCGGTCACACTGTCACTCTGCCGGCCGTTGTGTGGTGGCTGTGTCCACCAGCCGTTTCTGGACCGGCCTTCCTCAGGAGTGAGCCTTCCAACGGTGGAGGCGCTGCCTCTCGCGTGTGAACTGACCCTCCCGTCCCGGCACGGCCCGTGTGTAGGCAACCCGGACTGACACGCACGGGCTCCCTCTCCTGGGCCCGCAGCGTGGCCGCGGGGAAGCAAGGGGGCTCCTGTGGGCCTCTGTGCACACTAGTTTGGAAGGCCCAGCCCTGCCTCCACCGTCTACTCCCCCAGGAGCCTGGGATCGTGGAGAGAAGCACGTCACCGTGGGAAAAGGATCCCCGAGGGACTGGCCAGACCCTCTTCTGAAGATCATTTCTCAGGGTCACAGCCTGCAGCCTTGGTGGGGAGCATGGGCCTGGCCACAGCTAGACACACGCCTGCTCTCACACCTGCTCCCCGACTCGCGTCCACGCCGCACCGCTCACGGCAGCCCACACCTGCACCCGTACTTTGATCCCTAACCACAGCCTAAGCCCCTGGCTACTGGTGGGTGACAAGCAACAGACCTCCCTGCCATCAGAGACACAGCGGTGTCCCCACCCCGGAAACACCACCGCCCAGAGCCCAGATGTGCAGAGTAGGCCGCGGGCTTGGCCTGGCCCGCCCTGGGGCTGCAGGAGGGCTTGCGTTCTTGGGTGCCCCGCTTGCCACTTTGGGGAAGGGGCAAAATTATTGGCTCCTGGGCTCCCTGGCCTGTGGGTTCCCCATCCTCTGAGCTCAGGCTCTGGCTGGGGCCTATTTGGTGTTCCAGTGAGTGGGTGGGCTCGGCTTCCCCAGGCATCTCTCACCGGGGCACCATCCTCAGGCCTTGGTGAGTCTTCCTGCCCGCTGGGGCGCACACCCGCCCTCCCCGGCTCCTGCCCCCGTCCCTGCAAAGTGCGCGCCTGTTGCCCTGGAAGGTCTGGGTGGGATCCACCCGCGCTGGGTTCGCTCGCCGAGCTACGGGGTTGGGAGAAGTGGGAAGAGGGTCCTCTCTGTGGCCTCGGTCTCCTTGTGGGTGGGAGGGGAGTCCGCGAAGGCGGTCCCCACGTGGGCGTCATTGTGGCCTCAGCCTTTGCAGGCCTGTGGTTAGTCCTCCCCTCAGAGTGGCCACATCAATCATTTACACACCCTCTCCATTTCTAAGCACGTTCCAGGAAAGTCTGCACCTCGGCCAGCGCCACACAGGGGAAGGGGCTGGGACAAATCCTTCCTCGGCCAGTCCCGACTGTCTGCCCTAAGATGGACCCTACCCGCCACCCCACCCCGTCTGATGCGTGGTCATTGCCTGAAGGCCCCCTGGGTGTCGGGGCGATCCCTCTGGTCAGGCAGATGTGGGGGGTGTGAAACAGGCAGCAAATCCCACCAAGCATCAGGTCCTTGGCAAACATGGGGAGAAGAGTGAAAAGGGTGCCTGCCTTCCAGGCGATCCTGGGGACAGATGCCCCTCCCCAGCCCAGGACACAGGCTGGGGGAGAATGAGGGGAGAGTGCCAGCTCCTGGACCCAGGACGGGTGACCCCAGCTCCTCCGTGGTCTCCAGCATATTCCCCCACGTGGCGCCCAAAGCAGGGATAGGAAAGCCTCCCCAGGAAAAGATGGGGCTCAAGGGGCGAGCCGGTACCAGCCCAGGTTCCTGGCTGGGGGGGGGGGGGGGGACCCCCCCCCCCCCCCCCCCGCGGGGTTTCCCCCCCCCCCCCCCCCCAACGGGGGGCCCGGGGGGGGGCGCCGCCCCCCCCCCGGGGGGGGGGGGGGGGGGGGGGGGGCAAAGCCATGCCCTCCAGCAGCCTGCTTGTTCCCAGCGTCCAGCACCCCCTTCATCCAGCCTCGTCCTCCCTGCCCCCTCTCCCATCCTGCCCTTCCCCCGTCAAGCATCCAGCCCCCTTCTTCTTGCCCTCTCCTCCCTGTCCCCAGCATCCCAATCCCTTCCTCCCTGCTCCGGTCCCCTCCTGTCACCCCCCACCGACTCCCTGAGCCACCCCAGCCCCCACAGCCCTGAGCCGCTGTTTCCATCCTCTTACTTGTATGGCCGCAGCCCCCCACGCGCACCTGGGCATCATCGATTCTGAACGCCCAGCGCCCGGGCACGCCCACGTTGGTGGTGGTCTCCACCTCGACCATGTCCGCGGTGCGCGAGCCGGGGATGCTGAAGTAGCGCCGCCCGTCACCCGCATTGAAGCCAGCCTAGGGTGGGGAGAGTGGGGGGCAGGCGCCAGTTGGGTCCCCAGGTCCCCCTGAAGCTCCTGAGACCCACATAACGCCTCCCCCCCGCCCTCCCCCCAGTGGCCAGGGTCAAAGAAATCACGTGGAAGGCAGCTTTGTAACCCTGGAGCTTTACAGGTTTAGGGGTACCCCTACCACCCCCCCACGTTGTCCTTGTCCCGATCAGCAACCTCCCAGCCAGATCCTGACCCCAGCCGACAGTCCCTCCAGCCACCAACCTTGAGCACTGGCGTGCTCCCCACACACACACCTGCGGGGCTCACTCCCTTGGAGTCTCAGCTCCCATAAGGACCGGGGGGCCAGGGGCAAGTGTGAGCTCAGGAGAAAGTAGGTGGCCCGGGAGGAGGTGGGGGCCTTCACACAGTGCAGGAGCACTGGCTGGCCTCGGGGACTTGCACTTGACCACGCCCTCCACACTTAAAGACTTCTTGCCGGCCACAGTTCTGTGGGCCATGGGCCAGCCCCTGGGACAGTCAGTGCACGGAGGACCACTGGCCTCTTCACGGTACTGGCTGTGTGCAGGGAGGGTCCGCCCGCCTTGTCAGCTGTGACAGGCGTGGCGGCGGGGAGCCGGGCCCCTACCTGGGCCGCGATCCCTCCCAGGCCAGTGGTGTCACCCCCGCTGCTGGCGTGTGTGCCTGTGGTCCACGTGATGGACTCGTAGTTGAAGATGGTGAAGGAGAACTTGCCGTCAGTGATGAGCACAGTCTGGAACGTGTTGACCTGCCGAGGAGGGAGGTCTGAACAGGGCTCTGCACCCCAGTGTCCACGCCGCAAGGCCCTGCCCCCCTCTGGCATCCCTTCGCGCACTGTCATCATCCACCGGCTGTGTTCCCGACCGGGTGGTCAGCCATCTGCCGTCAGGCTGACGGCCTCGTCCCCGTCCTCCACCGTGTCCCCAGCGTCTGAGGCCCCGGCACGGGCCAGACCCCCAATATCTGTCGCCTGGTGAGTGAGACACACCGAGGGGTCATGAGGGCCCACGGACGCCAGGAGCAGACGCTGCGCCCTGTGGTGGCTGAGGCACAAGGGTGAGCGTTGACTGGGCCAGATCCGCACCACTGCCTTGTGTGAAACAAAAAAAGGGGGCGGGAGGGAGATAAAAAAAGGAAACGAGCAAAAGTGGTCTTAGTAATTCTTGGTTTTCATGGAATTCTCTTCCATGAAACTATGCTTGAGTAGCATGTATAGGAGACGTTATTTCAGATCGGGCAGGGAGGGGGGCTGTTTAAAAAGGGATCTCGGGACTAGTAGGAAACTCTCTGAAAGAGTATAAAATTGGACCTTTACATCTTTACCTCACTTTAATAAAGCCCACGTCAAGTAAGGTCATGGATGGAACCGTCAAAGCCCTAGAGGAAAATATGGGCACTCGAGTCTGCAGAGCTGCGTCGGGGAAGGACTTGAAGCATAACGTTTGTCGACCGTGAAAGCCAGAAAGGAGATTTGTATGTTTGACTACAGAAACTTCTGTGTATAAAAAGTGCCGTAAGATCACACTGAATAGCAAACAGCAAAGTGGAAGATGTTTCTACAACATAGGTGGCCGGCGAAACTGTGGGTGTCTTTAATTCAAGCACAACTTGTACGGGTCAGCAAGAAAAAGACGAGAAAGGTGACAGAACTGGCAAGGGTCGCGTGAGCAGATGCGTTACAGCAGAGCGCGACCGCCCAGTCACACTGAACAGATTCGCCAGCCCTGGACGCCAAAGGCCTGGAGTAAAAGGAAAAGGCCTTCCCTGTTTGCCCGTGGCGCTGGCGAGGGAGGGGAGCCACGGGCGTCTGCTGGGCCCAGGGAGACCGCGCGGCCACACGTGGCTCACTCACACGTCTGAGGCCACGAGTCTGAGAGGCGCGTCAGAGCTCTGCGGGCAGCGGCCTCCCTGCTGGAGCCTCGTGCCGGGAGACGGTCCCCGGTCTAGCGGGGCCGCGCGGTGCCCGCCTCGGGGCACAGGTGCCGCCCGACACGGCATCATATGGTCCATCTTCTTACTTCCGTAAGAATGAGCAAGAGGGAGACCGAGTGCTCCCCTTCGGGATGGCAGACCTGGAGCTAATACGACCAGGACGCCGCGGCCACGAAGGCAGGAAAGCCGAGGGGGGACGTAGGGCGAGACTAGGGCCAGCAAGGCCAGCGGCGGGGCTTCGCGAGCTGCTGAGGCCCGGCGTGCGAGGAGAGCGAGGCCGGGCGTGGGGCTTACGTCCCTTCCTCCCTTCTTGTCATGCGGTCTGTTCCCAGAGGAGGGCTTTCCGGGTCCGCCAGCACCCGGCCCCTCTCCCAGCCCAAACTCAGAACTCTGAGCCCTTATAAGAATTCTTGTGTTGCCCAGACATTCACACCCCTGGGCCCGGACACCGGAGGGCAGTAAGGTTTCCTCTGGCAACACAGGAGGGGCTCAGGAAACAGAGGGCACAGGTGACATCACGGTTTCCGTGATGCCGTGGGGAAGGCGGACGCTGTTGAGCGAACAAAACCACAAAACGGCGTGTTCTCCGTGGCTCTATTTATTTCTTAAAGTGGGTGTCAGTATACAATAGGAAGTGTTTACTGGGAGTTACCTCTTGGTGGTGGAATCTCTGGTTCTTTTTTTCTTTGTGTTACACAGATGTTTTTCTTACAAATTGGTGATAAGAAAAAACAAAACTTAGCGAAAGATGAGTGGGCTCTGCATGAATGAAGTTCACCAGCGTGAACCCTCATCCGTAGTAATATTTACAGAAAAAGCCCATCTTTCCCTGTTGACTGCCCTCCTTTTAGGAAGCGAGCACCGCAGTCGCTCAGCGGCTGCGTTGCTCAGCGGCTGTCTCGCTCCGGGTGTGCTCGGTCCCCCCGCTGCCGGAGAACTCGGCCAGCGCTCTCCACCTGTGCTGTGTTCCCGAGCCGCCGCTACTGGGGACCCCGCACCGCCATGCCGAGTGAAGACCTCACCTGTTCCCACCCTCTGCCCACCCACTCGTGTGTGTGTGTGTGTGTGTGTGTGGCGGGAAACCAGGCCCTGCCCTTGACTGCTGTGCCCGTGCCTGTCCCCTGCGGTCCACTGTGCAGACACATCTATCCCTCGGGGCTGCTCTGAGCCTTCCCGTCCCTCAAGCCCCGGAGCCTCCTGTGGCTAAGCCGCCACCTTCTGCCTGGCACAGCAGTCCCACCGGCTGTGCTGGCTGAGTGCTTCTCGGCCCTTGGCGTCTAGAATGTGCCGCATAGGAGACACGGGTCCCCAGTGCCTTCGTCGTCTGGCATTATCGCAGAATAAAGGATAAAACAGAATAAACTTCCCGCATAACCTGTTGAGTTTCAAACCATTCCAAGAGGAGACTCTTCTAACACATGATCGGTATCTCCCTAGCATGTGAACTCCTGTATCGGGGCATTTGGCATTTTCCTAGAGGCAGATGGGTTCCAGGGGGGTGGGGGCTGGGGAAGGTCAGGGCTCTGCCCTCCTCCAACCTGACTCTGCGACCCTGGGAGAGTAACTTCCATCCCTGAGCCCAGTTTTCCCCTCTTGGCCGTGCACCAGTGGTTGTGTCTGACCCACCTCAGCAAGGCAGGGTCCCTGGAGGGAGAGCCTGGACCCCAGACCGACGTCCTCCCTCCCCCAGGACAGAAAACTCACGGGGGAAGAGGAGCTGCCTCCAAAGAAGGTCACACGGTGCCAGGTGGCTATGAAGACCCAGGTGGCGGAGAAGTCCTGGAGCTCGGGGAAGTAGCGCCTGACGTCCTCTGTGGCTCTGTGCAGCGTGGCAGGGTCAGTGGCCTCCCTGTAGTACACGTCACCTGCACGCCGATTGTCCACGTCTGCCCAGAAGGCTGCCACCACGCAGCGGTCCTTGGCGATGGGGAAGGCCGCGGGGGTGAACTGAGAGACCTCCTTCAGGAAGGAGACGACTCCGTTATTGTTCACCTGTCAGGAAGCCAGACGGGGGGCCAGTGGGCACCTGGGGACAGGTGGGTGGGCCCGGCGGCCTCCCCTGCCTCACCCGCCAGGCGCCCTCCAAGGGGGAGCCGGCCTTGAACCGGGCAACCCTAGGACAGCCTGACAGTTCCTGGTCCCTGATACGGGACCCCTCGGCCCGTTCCATCCCCTTGCGGACAGGCTGTGCGCTCAGGCACAGGCTCTGACCCGTTTGCTCTACCTGATGCGCCGCACGGCGCCCAGACCTGGGCTGCTGCTGTGGGGTCAGGGAGCTCCCGCTGTGGGCCCTGGCCTTGGGCAATTGGGGCGCTCAGGGTCCTGGGTCCCACTCTAACCAGGCACCTTGGGAGGCGCAGTAGGCTGCCAGCCTTGGATCCATGTGCGGACAGGTGAGCTGGAGCCACGTGAGGTGGGCTGAGGGGAGGCCGGAAAGGCCTGGATGTCTGGCTGGTGGGGAGGGTCTGTGCTCAGGACTCCAGACAGTAGGGAGCTGCAGAAGGCTCCTGAGCAGAAGAGGGGGTGGGGGGCGGCAGGCAGCGTCTGTGCGGTAAGACGCAACTGGTCCCAGTGCAGTTAGCCGTGCACCCAGGAGGCAGTTCAGCCTTCACCTCTCTGTGCTCTGGGTTTTCACCTGTGACATGGGGATAACACTAGTTATTGCCTCCGGGATGCTGGCAGCCTGGAACGAGTTAGTGAGCACAGAGCTGGGCCCTAGACTGTCAGGATTTGCTCCTGGGAGGCTCGTGGTCAGAACTATGCTTTCAGAAAAGACTCTGGACTTGCCCTTTAGGTGAGGGTGGCCCGGGAACCCAGAGAAGCACAGCTCTCTTCTTAAAGGCACCGAGAGCGATCGAGCAAGTGAAGTATTTCAGGGCTTGGATTCCAAATTGAGGACAGGGAGGGACCAAAGGCAAGCCCGGCTCTCAAAGCTCCTTCCCGCCCAAGTGAGGGCACCTGCACACTGAGGAGCAGTGGCTGCAAACAAGACCTAAAGTTTTGCAGCCTCGTGGAGGAACAGAGAGAGAGACGTCAAAGCTCGGCGCTCACTTGGGGTTGGGGGTAAGCCCCCACACTAAGCTGGGTGAACTTGAAGTACACAGTCCTCATGCGGCCTCACGCTTTGCCATCCCTTCACCCAAGAGATCCAGGGCCCCTCGAACTGGGACTCAGATCAAGGCTCGGATTCTCGGTTCCCAATGGATAGCATCCTGAGGTTCCAGAAGCAAAGAAAAGCCTCTCTGGTGGAAGCTGGCATCACCTTAGGCCTCAAGCTAGTCCTGTAAATAATTGTTCAAGTACAAAACCCAGGTCACAAAGATAATTGGGCACATAAGGAAACAAGGTACCACTCACAAGAATCAGCAGAAATGCAAGAAACATTGGATATCAGAATTATCAGACCAGAGACTATAAAGTGACTAAGTTTACTGTGTTCCAAGTGCAAGCTTTAAATTTCTTCAAGAGAATGGCCAAAACAATCTTGAAAAAAGAACGAAGTTGGAAGACTTATACTTTCTGCTTTCAAAACGGACTGCAAAGCTGTAGCAGTCAAAACAGTGATGTCTTGGCTTAAAGACAGAAATACAGACAAATAGAAGAGAATAGAGAGCCCTCACATATATGGGCAAATGATTTTCATCAAGGGGGGCAACAGAAAGGGCAGTCTTTTCAACAAATGGAGCTGGGACTACTGGACGTCCACATGCAAAAGAATAAAGTTGGAATCTTACCTCACCTCAGATACAAAAATTAACTTAAAATGGATCAAAGACCTAACCATGAGGGCTAAACATATAAAGGTCAGAAGAAAACATAGGATAAAAGCATCACAGCATTGGCTTTGGTAATGATTTCTTGGATATGACACCAAAGGCACCGGCCACAAAAGAAAAAAAAAAAAAAACAAAAACAGACAAACTGGAGTTCATCAAAATTAAAAATATTTGTTTCTAGCAGCAGAATGAAAAGGCAACCCACAGAATGGGAGAAAATATTTGCAAATCATGTATCTAATAAGGGCTTAATATCTTAAACATATGGAGAGCTCCTACAACTCAGTAACAACAACAAATGCAAACAACCTGATTAAAAAATGGGCATAAGACTTCAATAAACTTGTCTCCAGAGAAGATCTACCAATGGCCAATAATCCCATGAAAAGATGGTCAACATAACTATCGTTAGGGAAATGCAAACCTAAGCCACAATGAGCTAACACCTCATACCCATTAGCATGGTTCCCATCAAAAAACCTAGAAAAGAACAAGTGTGGTCAAGGACACGGAAAAGCTGGAACCCTTGTGCACTGCTGACAGAAATGTAGAATGGCACAGTCGCTGTGGAGAACAGTTGGCAGTTTCTCAAAAAATTGCAAATAGATATACCATATGATCCGGAAATTCTACTTCTGGGTATATATCTGTATTAGTCGGCTGTGGCTGCCATAACAAAATACCAGACTGAGTGGCCTGAACGACAGAAATTTGTTTTCTTATAGTTCTGGAGCTAGACATCCGAGATGAAGGTGTCATCAGAATTGGTTTCTAGTGAGGCCCCTCTTCCTGGCTCGTAGATGGCTCCCTCCTTACTGTGTCTCCACACTGCCTTTCCTCTGTGTGCACACGAGAAGGGAGAGAGCTCTGTGGTGTCTGTCCCTCTTATTATCAGATTGGGGCCCTACCCATACAACCTCAGTTTACCTTCCTAAAGGCTCTATCTCTAAGTACAATCACCTTGGGGGTTAAGAATTCAACATAAGAATTTTGGGTGGGACACAATTCATCCACAACGATACTCAAAAATAATTGAAAGCAGGGTCTTCAGGAGATCTTTGTACACCCGTGTTCATAGCAGCATTCTGCACGACAGCCCAAAGGTGGAAGCAACCCAAGGTTCACCAATGCATGGATGAATAAGCCAATGTGGTCCATCCATACGATGGAATATGATTCAGTCTTAAAAAGGAAGGAAATTCTGACGTGTGCTACAAAGTGGATGAACTTTGAGGACCTTATGCTCAATGAAATAAGCCAGTCACAAAGAGACAAATGCTGTGATTTCACTTATATGAGGGATCTAGAGTAGTCACATTCATAGAAAATAGAATGGGGATGTCCAGGGGCTGGAGGAGATGGGGTGGGGGCATGTCTAGTGGAGACAGAATTTCAGTTTTATAAAATGAAAAGAGTCTGGAGGTGAAGGTAGTGATGACTGAACAACATGTCCTTAATACCACTGAACTGTACACTTAAAAATGGTCAAGATGTAGGGGCACCTAGGTGGCTCAGTCAGTTAAGCATCCAACTTCAGCTCAGGTCATGATCTTGCAGTCCATGAGTTCGAGCCCCACATCAGGCTCTGTGCTGACAGCTCAGAGCCTGGAGCCTGTTTCAGATTCTGTGTCTCCATCTTTCTCTTTCCTTCCCTGCTCATGCTCTGTCTCTCTCTTCTCAAAAATAAATAAATGTTAAAAAAAAAAAAAAGGTCAAGATGCTAAGTTGTATATTATGTGTATTGTCCACAATATAAAAAATTGACTAAAGCAAAGTCTGGGACAAAAAAAATAATCAGGAATGGAAATTCTCTTTTTAAAAAACCATTTTAAAGAACTAAATAGAAATTCTAGGACTAAAACTAAGTAAATAACAAATTAAGAACTAAGTAGATAATTTAAAAGCAGATTTAAATGGATAATTTAAGAGCACAATTAAAGGAAGAATTAGTGAGCTGGACCTAGAAGACAGGTCCGAAGAAACCATCTGGAATTTAGAACAGAGACAAAGACATGGAGAGTAGAGAAAAGAAAAGAAGATTTATGTGAAGCAGGAGGATGGTCAAATACAGGTATGGTTTGGAGCACCAGAGGGTAAGGACGTATAAAGGCAATGGCTGAGAATTTCCAGAACTGATGAAAAACATCAGGCCACATATTCAATAATCCCAGTGATTCCCTAGCTGGAAGAATTAAAATATAGCAACAACAAATGACTGCTGTAAATGCACATCAACGATAAGGAGACAGTTATAAAAGTAGGAATATATGAATTATCATCAAGGGTCTTTCCCGTAGAGTGGCAGCTGAAAATGGTGGGATTGTGTTTTGAATATGCTGGAAGAAAATAATCTGCTTGCAGTTTTATACCCAGATAAAATATCCTTCATTACTGAAGGCAAAAGAAAGATAATTGAAATAAATAATAAATAAGTAGGAACTAAATAGCAGATCCACATAAACAAAGCCAAGTCAAAGGGAAACGTAAAGTCAGAGATGCAAGGAGGAGAAAAGGGCAAAGAAGGTGAAAGAAGGTGCTATGAACTGAATGTCTGTATCTCCCCCAAATTCTTATGTTGAAACCTGGCCCCCACTGTGATGGTGTTAGGAGGTGAGGCCTGTTGGAGGAGACTAGGTATGAGGGTGGATCCCCCATGAAGGAGATTAGTGTCCTTATAAAAGAGACCCCAAAGAGCTGTCTCTGTTTTTCTGACATGTGAGGACACGATGAGAAGATGCTGTCTATTAACCAGGAAGTGGGTCCTCACCAGACACTAAATCTTCCAGCCCCTTGATCTTGACTTCTCAGCCTTCAGAACTGTGAGAAATAGTGTTTGTTGTTTAAACTACCCAGTGTAGGGGCTCCTGGGGGGCTCAGTCAGTTAAGCGTCCGACTTCAGCTCAGGTCATGATTTCACTGTCTGCAGGTTCAAGCCTCGGGTCGGGCTTTGTGCTGACGGCTCGGAGCCTGGAGCCTGCTTCAGATTCTGTATCTCCCTCTCTCTCTGTCTCTCCCCCTCCTCATGCTCTAGCTCTCTCTCACAAAAAGACATTTAAAAAATTTTTAACTGCCCAGTCTGTGGCATTTTTATCATAGCAGCCAGAAGGCATGAGAATAAATCTAAATGAACATTGACCATATACAGAAATAATATAAATAAAGCTTTGTGTAGTTGTGTGAAAAAAAATCTGTAGAATTAAGATTAATGATAATAGC